CCTTCAGGCCCCCTCATGTTGCATCTCCTGATGTGGAGTCCCTGGGCAGGCATTTTCTGACTGACTGGATCAACCGGCAGATTGATCAGGAAAAAGTTATCTCTTTTATGGAAGAACAATGATTTGATATTGATATTTCAGTAAGAATGAACAAAGAGTGGCCATTTCATACAGTGTTAATTATGGTAGCATGCAAGTATCTTTCATGCACTAAGCTTATAGGAATAGGCTCTCCTGAATTATTCTTTCACAATGAAATGGTTTCTGTGGCCTGGTTCTGTTGACTGACTCTACTTCTATTGGTTGTCTTTAGCATGTCCGAGTGCTCGATGGTGTCATGCTATGTGCCTGTGTGACACAGATACAGCAGTTTTGATTGGCGGTGAAGGATCTAATCAACAATTCTGCAAAGATGTACTCTGGAAACTGGAGATTGGTGAGATACTTCTGTGCTTCTAATATTGATATGCCTTGTCTGCAAGCCATGGGAAGAAAACATTCCAGATCTTCTAATATGTAGGGACCATTAACTGTCATACAATTTGAGTTTAAAGTTACTGGAATCAATTTTCTTTGAATAACATTGGGGGATGCCTTAAGGGAAATGTCTCTGAATTTCACAAATACAAGACTATGCATCTTCTCTGTTTACTGTATATCTTCTAATTCACAGATAATGACTTTTGGTTCCCTATGGATTTCCCAACACAAAATTCCATACCACAGTGTTCCCGAGGTCACAGTGCCACTTATGACCCAGACACCAAGCGCATCTACATATTTGGGGGCATAAAAGAGGGGAGACGCTACAACAGCATCTATGTTTTGGATACAACATCTTGGAAATGGCTTCATGTTTTTGTGAGTAGAAACCAAACATTGGGCACTGTAGAAGTGTAGCTTCAGCTTGCTTTTTGTGTGCCTATTTTTTGTTTTTGCAATTTTCTTATTCTCTTTTGTAAGAAATAAGAGTTCAAATACAATGGCAAAAAGTGGACTAATTCATGTAGGAGACAGAAAATGGGAGTAAATAGAGCAGGTGAGATTTTTCTGGTAGATTACAGTTAGAAACTGTATGGATGCTATCCAGTAATGCTATTGAGAGCAGGAGAGCCCCCACTGCTGCTGATACTAAGTCAGATTCACCTGCTGACTTGGGTTGTGATGAGATTTTTCTTTCTTCTCTCAGGCTAAAGGGAAAGTGCCCACTCTGGCCTTTCACAGTGCAACTGTCTATCACAAGGAATTATTTGTCTTTGGAGGAGCTTTCTCTAAAATGTTGTCCTTGGAGAGGGGCGCCTGCAGTAATGCGCTTTTTATTTTCAACCCTGACTATGAGATTTGGTACCAACCTATTGTGGAGGGGGAGAAGCCACTGCCAAGGCTGGGGTGAGGCATCTCGTCTTGAACTCAGAGGAATCTGAAATAGGCAAGATTTATTTCCTTGGTCTTTTTCTCCGCTAAAAAGTGAAGCAGATGTTTTTTTTCATGCACTTTTATTTTAGCTAGAAGTGAGTGTTTCTTTTTTCATACTACTGTATAATATTCCTTTGATAAGTTCAAAATCACATGGAGAGAGCCTTGGGTAAACCTATCATTTGAGTTTTTCTATGGAACTCATTTTAAGGAATCATATGCATTTATGTACTTATGCTGATTTCTTCATTGCAGCCATTGTATTTTTGTATCCTAGTCATTATTACTTACTGCAAAGCAGTTATATCCCTTAGCAGTAACAGAAGGAAGGATTTTAACTAAGATCCATTTATCATGACTGGCAAGACACTTCCACTCATAATGGAACATTTGTGACTTCTTTGGCCCCTTTCTCTGTAGGCATTCTTTTAGACCATATTTCACACTGATACTCAACAGTTTTATTGGTGCTTCCATTTATAAATTAAGAAATCTCAGAAAACGAAAAATGGGATCAATGATACAATAAACTCCATTGTGGACTCTTGAGTATGCTAGTTAATGCCATTCCCACTATCAGATTATCTTTCTGATAGTTTGTGTCCTTGATTTTTAGTTTATATAAATATTCAAGAATCAAGAATATAAAATATTGGTTACTTGATGCATTTGTCCCGTCAAGGCGTCAAATAATAATGTATGAACAAGATTTCTATCTAGTATGTTTGAGTTTTTATGTTCTCTGCCCTTATCTCAAAGTCATTCAGCTACTTTGTTGAAGAACAAATTAGTCATATTCGGAGGCCAGAGGACTTCTACATACCTGAATGACACACACATCCTTGATCTAGGTAAGAAGGGCACAATGCTTGCCTTCTTAAATGTCACCAGGATTTGGACAGTGTAAAGAGTCCACCTTTATAGGCAGCTCAATTTGATGAGAACGAAAGATTATCCTGAAATGGAAGCTGCCAACTCATGAAGAAAACTCACAAGAATAGTAAATGGGAATAATTTCACTTCATGGGAAAGGCAGTAATAAAGCTCTGACAATAGCACTCGTAGGTCTTGTAACAGGACTGATGGCTTGGATAATGAAATAAAACTGTATCCTTGGACTATAAATCCTTTTAAAGAGAGGAAGCTATTTATGGCAACAAACACAACAAAAAGGTGTTGCAGTACTTAATTGCAGTTTTTGTGGAACAGAATAATTTGGTTGCTAGATGATGTATCAATGCATTCTGTGCCCATTTCATTTTTGTTATTGCTCTGATACGAGTCTAATCTATGCCACAATGCACTTCAGCTTGGTCTTTTTGAAGTGCTACAAAAAGCACTGAGATAGGGTTTTTTTTTATGTGGGTCCAAAACATCTTCTAATTATTTTATCTCATATTTCTAGGTTTTATGGAATATAAAGCAGTTCCATCTCTCTCTGGACAGCCTTCCCCACGCAGGTCTGTTCATGGTGTTATATGTGCTCTCTTGCATTAACTGTGCTGTGCTAGCAAATAAGTTTGAAACAGTTACTTTTTAAATCAAATTTATATGGCTGCCCATCTTGGTATCTCTGGGTTAGATAAAGGAATGAACTTTAAACTCTTACTCTTTGGACGTTTGTCAGTTTGTAAGCAAACTCAATCCTGAAGCATTTATTATGAAACTTTGCAGGTCCTAATCATTCTATTCATGCTGGTAAAGGATGCTGATATCAATATGGCTAGAATGGCTAGAAGGAAATTTAGACACTTAAAAGTCTTAAATCTATTCCTCTATACAATTTGAGAACCTCACTAGATCCAGGCCTTTACCACTTCATCTCCTACTGCCCCCCTGCTTCTCTAAGGGAGATGGCCGGATAAGAAATATGAAATATAAATAAATACAATAAACAACTGTTTTATGGAAGATCTGCAGGTAGTCCTCAAATTGTGACCATTTATTTAATGACCATTAGAATTTACAGTGGGGCTCAAAAAAATCACAACCAGTTGTGACGGTTGCAGCACCCCTGTGTTCATGTGTTCAAAATTTGAATGGTCAGCAAAAGGCTGGTATTTATGACAATTGCAGCATCCTGGGTGGGAGTGGGGCTGTCACATAATTGCCATTTGGTAACTTCCCAGGGGACTTCCGACAAGGAAAATCAGTGGAGGAAGCTAGATTCACTTAACAACGATTCTCTTAATGACTGCTGCAAAAATAATTGTAATATCAGGCGTAACTCACTTAATGACTGCATCACTTAGCAATAGTTTCTTCCCAGTTGTGATTGTAGGTCAAGAACTACCTATACTCCAGTCTAATATGCTTTTTCATATAAAAGGATAGAGTGGGGTTTTCCAAATAGTATATTTGGAAAAAAAAATAAGGGACTGGGCATACCCGTCTAGAAAAGATTCCCAGGCATGGGAAGTAAATCTGATACAGGTTACTTACAACAGTTTATTTAGTGACCATTCAAAGTTACAATGGCACAGAAAAAGGTGACTTATGACTGTTTTTCACACAACTTGTTGCAGCACCCCATAATCACATCAACAAAATTCAGACACTTGGCAATTGACTGATATTTATGACTGTTGCAGTGTCCTGAGATCATACGATCCTCTTTTGCGACCTTCTGACAAGCAAAGTCAATGGGAAAACCAGATTCACTTAGCAACCGTGTTACTAACTTAATGACAGCAGTGATTCACTTAACAGCTGTGTCAAGAAAGGTCGTAAAATGGGGCAAAACCCATTTAACAAATGTCTCACTTACCAACAGAAATGTTGGGCTCAATTATGTGTTCAAGGCTAATTTGTGTTCAAGGCTAATTAGAAGTGGCTAATTTTCAGATGATCTATTTGGCTTCTAGTTTCCATGCTGCTATCCAAATCTCTGATCAAAAAATGTTGATAAGTGGTGGCTGTAATGCCAGAGCAGCTTTCCAGGATGCATTTATCTTCCATTTAGGTAAGTTATAAAAGTCTACCAGAAAACTGCCCCTTAGCCCTAGAAAACATTTGCCAGGACTCATCATCTTCTTTCCATTGCAGATACCTTGACTTGGAGTGCAATTAAGCATAGTGATCTTTGCGCTGTGCCCCGGGCAGGCCACACACTGCTCAATTTAACTTGCACTAACCTGACAAACACGGATAAGAAGAATCAGAGCAAACACAACATGTGCACAGTGCTTGTCTTTGGAGGTTCAGACCATGCTGGCAAGTTTTATAACAGTACAAACAAATTCCAGCTTGATTTTCAAAACTAAATAAGTGCCTGCTAAGATTCCACCTGAATTGTTTTGACTCCATGGCAAGATCAAGACCCAGAAGGACAGAAACAACTGGACATCAGAATAATAAAAATGAATTGATAACTATGTCAAAAAGCACAGGGCTGTTGAGGCTTTACCAGAGATTGCTTTAAGGTTTGATTTCTTAGATCAGCGTTTCTCAAACTTTAAAATATGTGGGCTGGGACCTGAACTTCTGGGAGCTGAAATTCACACATATTAAGGTTACCAAGTCTGAGAAACTCTGTCTTAGATCTTACTCTAGATTTAAAGTGTGTCACAAAGATGACAGCCCCTGCCTTTATTTTTAACATGGATAGGTGTGAGGGAGGTGGACACTGCTCACTTCGCTGTCATTATCCCAGCTATTTCTGTTTTTAACCCCTACAGCTTTATCTGTGATGGCAGTTAATGTCTTAGCTGAATTCAGTAGCTCAGCATCTTCACATTTTAGCTTGTCAGCAGTTGAGAGGGCAAAGAAGGAGAGGGAGCACCACCAAAATAAGTATTTTGGAGAAGGCTTACTGCTTCTGTGGAAAGATGGATCAATGATATTTTAATATTGCTGTGAAATATATTGGTCTGGATTTCCCAATGTGTTTTTATACATTTGGTTTGTTCCTGTTCTCTCCTCCTCCTAACCCATTTTGTTTATCTTTTTTCTTCATGCCTCAGATAAAAGTTGTTTATATTTTGCCAAATCTAATAAAGCAAGCGTAAGTATTTGAACCTGAATATATACATCTTGGCCATTGGTATGAAGACAAATATCTTCTCAACATCTTAGAAACAATCATTTTGAAGCTTCTATATGCCTTTTGCAGATCATAGGATTTTGTTTGCGGTGCATAGCTCTTTAGAAATCTGTGTGCTTTTTTTCCTAGAAAATATACAATCCCTGTGAGGATTAGAAAACTTCTAGCTGCTGCCAATTTATTGCATGAATTTCTGTTGTTACAACTTACTATACTAAAGGAAGAAGTTAAAAGTTCCCTAACTTTCAATATTTCTGAAATGCTGGTATATGCTGGCTAATGAACGGGCAACTTATAGCTCTAAAGCAATTCCAACTGCATCATCAAATTTTGCAAAAAAAAGTAGTGATACAGTTTGCTGCTGCTTAGGTAGCACATAAAAGCTGTTGTGGAAGTTCTTAAACAGTCCTTAGTAACACTAAAAAGGAGATATGCATTGAACAACATGCTATTAGACTAAAAGCTGGCAACCATTTGACATGTGACTGTTCTTTTTCAGGCCCAATCACTATTTGCTTGCCAGTATCTAGAACTTTTTCAAGTTCTTTAACTTTGTATATGGTCTAATTATAGATTAATACGTTTGCTATTTACACAAAGCAATGCTGTTTTTTTGAACGTCACAAGAAAACACCCACAAACTCTTATCTTTTGATCTGCTTCATGATTGCATTACAATTGTCACACATGATCAAAAATGTATTTTACTCCAGCGATATACTCTACAATTGCAGTGTCTTTTTTCTTTTTTTTTAAGTCTTAGATTTGCCAAACTCTTCCACATGAAACCCTCAAGTTTTTTTTCCCAGAAAATCTTAAAAAGGAGAGTCCCATTTAATTTTGGATCAATTTCTCTCACAGTAAAACAAGCAGTTGAAGAACTTTAGGATCTTAGTTCTGGAGGTGTATCTGGCTGCTGGGAAGGATGGCTGCTTTGAAATGCTTCCAATTCTAGGAGAGCTCTGTTGATTCTGCTTATTGTGGGGTATGGAGTCAGATCCATTTTAAATCTGGTAAGAGAAAATTAAGCATTAGGCACATCTGTGTTACTGTAAGGCCAAGCCATTTTGTTTAAGATACATTTAAATCAATAGGAAGCAAAACAAAAATCTGTTACAATCTGTTCACAAGAACATATTTTGCATTGAGTGATAATTGCAGTTAGAAGAAAAGTGAAGAGATCAATGAAGGGAGACAAGTACTCCAGCCCCTTCCTTTATTTGTATAATTGAACTATCTATTATATAAATACAAGAAAAACAGGAATGGATGTTTCCAAAATACTGCAGAAAAAGAACAGATGAGTATTCCTTTCACACCTCCTAAAGGGTAACTATCTGTCACCTAAATCTCCTGAGAGTTAGAAAGAGCAGCAAAGGCAAAAAGGAGCTCCCACTTTAATATACTCAATTTATCTGTTTCCAAATTTCTGTAACCGAAGCCCTTTTTCCTTTGCAATAAATCTGACGAATAAGACTTCGAGAATCTAGCCGTCTTCCTTGTAACTGTTGTTAGTGGCGTAACATTCTGGGTTTACAAAAATTCAGGCAGTGAAAGAAAGACAAGGGCAGAACTGGAGGAGAAGCTGAATAAACTGTGGACAGAAGCGGGATAAAAAGAAGACCGATATCATGGGATTGCCAAGAAAAATGGAAGTCCAGGTAAAAGGAAACAGGGGTCTTTGCTTCAAGAAACATGGGAATTTTGAATAGACTTTCTTTTTCTGTGCACTGTGAGGAGAAATGGAATGTTCTTATTTTCTATCAGTTTTGGAAAATTAGATTTTACATCAGTTTTGAATCAAACCTCTGGTAATTAATCGGAAGGTATTTTTATAATTGTTGTTATATGTATCACTTGTCCAAACAAGATAGGTAGGTAGGTGTTTGTTTTTTTTAAATAAAATTTGATTTTGTTTACCTCCTGAAGGCAGGAAGGAACAAACCTCTAGTTACACAAAGGAGTTTTTTTTTCCCAAAAGGCAACTGGATTTTCTTGGTTTTTTTCCTTTCAAAATGTTTCACTTCTTATCCAAGAAGCTTCTTCAGTTCTAACTAACTGATGGGAAATGGAAATATTTATATTCTTTGCAATCATTTGATTATTAGACGTTAGCACCTCTAGTTACATACTTATGTACTACATGGCACTAAAGTAGCATTATTAAAATTATTTCTATTTTTTCTTTACTTTTTAATTACCAGAAAGGGCAATGTGTGGAGAATAAGGAAGATGATCTTGATGGGAGATATGCAAGAACTATTACAGCAGAAATGCTGAAACATTTTTTTTAAAGTCCCGAACAGGATAACATTCAAAAGTAGCTCAGGCAGACTCCTCCCTGATTTACTGGAGTATAAGGTGAAGTAGGATAGGACAATCAAATTCTGTTATTGCCAATATTAATAAATGCAAGTTTAACACTCTTCTGGTCTGGTCTACTTAATGGGATGGAGGGGAAGACATGAAATGTTTCTTGGAAGTTAGGTAGTAGTAATAGGAATTACCAAGCTGCTACACAAAGAGGAATTGAGACCACGATAGGAAGACCCAGAAGACTTCTGGAAGTGAAGTTTTGAGATTCCCCAGTCTTCTAGTCTATGGGTGCTGCCTTTCAACTGAATGCTAAGTAGTATTCTACAGTCTTTATACAGTCAGATGCCTCATTGGATTATAGTTTGTCTTTAAAGTAATACGAAAGTGTCTGATTACTTGTCAGGCTGCCATCCCTCTTAGAACTTGTGAAACTCTTACCTCTCAGCATTGTATACTTGGGGGACCAAGCAAAGGTCTGCCATGGTCACCTGAAAAAAGCACAAATAAATACCAATTCAAGATGCTTTCTCCTGGAGCTAAAGTTTGTTATAAGGCATCAATCCAGAGAAAATAGTATAACTTTTGTGATGTAGAAGTTAAAAAAAATGGTGATTTTTGATAGTTTGGCCCTAGGACTGGTTGCTGGCTTTGGACAATTTTTCCCCCAGTATCTTACATTAAGTAGTGACTATAGCTCTCAATTTACAACTGGTAGCTTAGAGACCATTCAAAGTTACAATGGAGGTACTCCCTGGGGGGGGGGGTGTACTTGTGACCTGATTCTGAAGGATGCCTCCCCTGCAATCATGTGACCATACTTTGGGTGCTTGGCAACCAGTCTGCATTTACAGCTGATTGCAACATTCTGCAGTCACATGACCTTATTTTATGACATTTTTGCTGAAAACTAGCATTTACTTTTGGTTTTGGTAAAAATGGCCCATTGATTGTTAAACGACCATGGCATTTGCTTAATAACCATCACAACTTATGTTGATGACCTGTTTTATGGTTAACAACAACAACTTAAGACCATTATGGTCATACTACTTGTGTATGTCATTTGCTTAGGGGATTTTTGTCGGGCCATTTCATGCTGGATCTATTCATTGACGCCAGGATAGAGACAAATTATTTCTTCCTTTCTTAGACAAATGAATTCTGGAATGCTCCCTAACATACTGACTAATGAAACATTACTAATTATGGGTTTCTGAGGCTCCTTTATGATCAGAAACGTATGATCTCAGCTTCTGATACCTCATCCCCAACACAGTAGCAGCCAGCTGTTTCTTGCAGGATCTGTTCCAAAGCTGTAGGAAGAGAAAATAGAACTATTGTTGGAAATCAGGAATGATGTTAAGCTTAAACCAACTGCCATTTACAATATTCTGAATACAAGATAAACCGTATAAAAGAATGAAATAATCCCTACATATTTTGTTTAATTTGTTGTAGCATGTAAAAGTAGGATTTGGGCTGATACATTTACTTGGGTGGGGAAAACATCCTGTCAACTTATTCAAGATAAAAATGTCACAGAATATCTTTTTGATTAGAGCCACAACCAACAGTGTCTGTCTAGTTCAGCATCCTACACTTTTCCATCTCTTTTCCCAGCCAGTATTACTGAGCAAATTCTAATACTGGTGACAACAAATATACTTTACTGTACGTAAGAGTCACTGGTACCTTCCATGAATTTGTCCTTTGTTTCAAACCTACCCGAGTTAGTGGTCATCAGTACATTATGTGGTAATAAGTTAAGCATAATTTAATTATATGCTTATAAAGAAATATTTGCTTTTGTCAACCTTAACAATCCAATTCTTGCACTTCATTAGAGGACTGCTGATATGAGCAGAGAGAAAGCTATTCTAGAGACCTGATAACTATTTTTTGCCTCATACATAAAATGGTATAGCAGTGAAAAAGATCCATTGCAAAAGTGCCCAAGGAACTAATTGGATCGGGAAACCAACATATAAGGGGAAAGGGTATAAATCTTTTATACTCTCTGATTCTTTCTGTTTGGGGGGGAAATCACCAGCTCCCTATATTCTTATTTTAGAAATCATGTGAGAACATGGGCTTGTGAATCCTGTTGTTAGTTGCTGAGCGACTAGTTTCTGATCTCAAACACATCTAGGTGCTCAGACTTGTTTCTGAATCTGTTTGTACTTACACCGAGCCCTACTCACGAGTGGTTACTGAACACATTGCTAGAGTCCTGATGATAGAATGGATTGTACCAGCAACTGGAGGGAGGAATGTAAGAGTCTCTTTTCAACTGCAATCCTAACACAGTGTCAAGGAAACCACATTATTCATTTTCTACTTCTGTTACTATTTTGTACTGAACCATATATTATTAAGCAGCATCTATTTCACTTGAAGTACAACCCCAGCTGCAGTCCATAAAATTTCATCTGAAGAACACATCTATAGTCCATAGATACAGTATTTACACTATGACACTAACCTATGACACTAACCTACTCCAATTATCTGTTCTACTATTTCAGTGTTTCTCAACCTTGACAATTTTAAGGCATGTGGACTTCAACTCCCAGAATTCCACAGCCAGCAATGCTGGCTGTGGAATTCTGGGAGTTGAAGTCCACATGCCTTAAAATTGTCAAGGTTGAGAAACACTGTACTATTTAAACTTTTAACATTTGAAGTTTTTTTCTCACATGTTTTCATTCAACCAGCAATAAGACTTTTATCATATCCTCCATGAGTGTCACAAACCATCATTCATACTTGGATTTGACAGTGCATTTTAAAGTTTGACGGAAAGATAAACTATAAAGCATTATGGGGAAATTTCCTGGAGATCTATTCCCACTAGAATGGTTTCTCTAGGAAAAGGCTCTGAGGAATATTCTATTTAAATTATCCAGAAACTCCCTGAAGCGTTGCATTGGGGTAGTTGTTCTATAGGGTCTCCCAGTACAAGACAGGCAGAAAAGAGGCTTCTTTGAAAAAAGCCTTTGTCACATTTGGAAATGACTTAAATCCAGATGAACAGCTCATGTTGAAACTTGCCTTTGAAGCCTTGAGAAATGATGCGTTGGGCCCAATCTAGCTTTTTCTCTCCCATCTGCTGCAGGACAGCCAGATTCTGAAAAATGTAAGGAGTGTATACAGAGATTTAGGATATAGTTTGTCATTGAACAACAGTCAGATCTTACTCCAAATAAATCTAACTTGCAGCATCAAAAGGACAGCAAATACTATTGTTAAGCAAGCAGTAATTTAATCCATATTTAAATCTATATTACAAATGGAGAACCTATGTCCTTCTAAATGTTGTTGGATTCCAACCCTAACCAACACACCTAATCCCCAGGGACAATACATAAAAAGCCCTAGTTTCCCAGCTCTGCTTTATCACAGTGGAAATTATTCTGCAAGAACAGCTGAAACCGAGTGGAATAAACCTGTTTTTAGCAGTGGTGGGATTCAGCCAGTTCGCACCAATTTGGCAGAACCGGTAGCTAATTTTTTGTTGCCCAGGGCCAGAATGGATTTCCGGAAGCGGCATACAGAGAACGGTTGTTCACATATTTGAATCCCACCACTGGTTTTCAGTGACATTTCCTATAGTTCTCCTATGGCCATCCTTTTTGATAAAGATATTTTTGACAAATCAAAAATAATGCTATCAATTGATGTTGAAGGTCAGAAATGTTAGTTACCCTGCAAAAATCAAGATGTACATTATGTAACCATTTCTTAATCATCCCATATGAACATAAGCCTTTATTTATTTGTTTATTTATTTATTTACTTACTTATTTTTATCTCACCTGTATTATTTTTACAAGTAACTCAAGGCAGTGAACTTATCCAACACACCTTCCTTCTCCTATATTCCCCACAACAACAATCTTGTGAAGTGAGTTGGGCTGAGAGAGAGTGATTGGCCCAAAGTCACCCACGTGGCTTTCGTGGCTAAGGTGGGACTTGCACTCATGGCTTCCTGCTTTCTAGCCAGGTGCCTTAACCACTAGACAGCTAAGAGTCGTTGGATGCAAGATGGGTGGCAAATAAAATTTAAAAATAAATAAATGCTTGTTGTATAAATCAGACCCCAGAGTTGCTTTCTGCAACAATTACAACCAGGAAAGAAGGACTATTTTCTTTACTTGAAAGGAAGTGGCTAACATATACAGGAATAATGCATCATTTCTGGTTGAACACTATATATATTATTAAGTATGACTCGTGGTGCCAAAGTATTGTTGTTTACATCTTCCCTATTTCATACATAGGGAGCCGATTCTTTATGATGGTTATGGCTATGGTGCTGCAGGAATAGATAAGACAACAGCCAGGTCATATCTTCTTTCATCAACAGAACCACCTTCTGGGTAACAGGACTCACCTTGTGGGCACATGGTTAATAGTGCTTGCCAATGAGATTCTACTTACCAATGATGTCATAACTTTCTGATTGTAAACTATTTGAAAATTCAGTGTTTGGAGTCAGCGGGCATGCATGCTTTGGAAACCACATCCCAAGTGCCCTTGCTTTGTACAAACAGGGCTCCTAAAGAAATTTCCATGTCTTGTGTGCTCAGTTAGCACTGCACACTAGGCACACTAGACCCAGCATTCTCTGGAATAACATTCTCTGTGCAGGAAAGTCTATGTCAGAAATGTTTAAGTTAATAGTGTTAGAAAGACAGGCAGCCAAGGTAAGAGGATGCTTACCTGCAGTGGTTGAATTCCAGAAGCAACATGATTTGAGATCATCCGAACCATAGCTCTCTTCTTTGGATCCTGAGGAAGGAGCCGTGGGAGTGGCCGGGTGTCCTCCAAATACTCTATGATGGCTAGCTGAAATAGAGAGTCATTCATTCATTCGTTCATTCATTCGTTCATTCATAAGGCTGCTCACTTGCCAATGGTACTGGGCAGTTTGCAGAGAACTAAAGTTGTTTGTTTATTTGCAAGGCCTATAGTCCACTCTAAGCTACCAACTCAGAGCAGCACAGCAACCATAGCAACTCAATTCACCCACCATCCCAGCTGTAGCCTGTGAGAAAAGCAGGATTTGTAAGGCTCTCTAAAGACATCTGTCCTTGGAATTTGGTATTCCAAAAGGCAGATGAAAATATATAGGTCTGTAAAATGACACTGTGCCAACCTGGAGAATGGCAGTCCTACAAATATCTAGGCCCTGTGCCATGGAAGGCCTGCACCCAGGTTCTGCATAGATAGTGCTGCTTACATAATGGAGGAATTACTTGGGTATACTGAGATGATCTATAACTGCTGCATTCTGGATCAGCTACAGTTTCCGAGTCTTCTTCAAGGGTAGCCCCTTGAAAAATACTGTTTAAGCAGCAATGATCCTAGGGAACTGTTCAAAGAAAAAAGCCAGAGGAATTCTCATCCAGAATTGCAGTCCAAAATATCTGGTTAAGGCAAGTGCCTTCAACCTGTCCTAGGCCAGTGTCTCAAAGATGATGCCACACTGTATATTAGGGGTTCTCGCAGTTAGTTATGTTATGGCCTTCCTATTAGACTAATAGGTCTACCAGATGCCACATTGGAAATACTCAGCCAACATAGCCCTAGAAAACTTTAAATGATCTTTCTCAAAAGAAGGTTTAAAGGTTAGTAGGGTAGGAGAACCACAAACAAAAGCTTGTGCAATGTCTATCATGTCCAGTTAAAACCACTCTTTCCTTTTTCCAGTAACTGTGTGCACATAACACATTAACGAGATCCCCACTGCAAGAAACAGCAAGCCCAGGACTACAAAGGGTAACCTGTCTCTCCCAGCTCTGTGGAGCCCAAATAGGTCAAATGACAAAACCAAATGTGTTATTTGAAAAGCAGCAGAACTGGAAGAAAATTACCTTAGCTGTCCACTGGGGACACTAATATGAGAGCATACCAAAGCAGTTATGGGGTCAAAGGCTAACACACACAAAATGCAGTATATTTCCAACAATGTCCTGTTACAGAGTATTCAAACAAAATAAATTATTATGTTAATACTTGTTAATAACAACATGACTATACTGTGGGGATGATAAAAATAACAAAAAGTACACATTAATTTGCTTATTCTCTCTAGAATACTTAAACATTTTTCATGAACCTTTGGGTGGAGGAACATCACTGTCCACCCATGTCACTGTCCCCCAATAATACCAGTGTGGAGTTTGTTGACTGTCAGACTACAGATGGATTGTTTTGCAACGTCTCGTAATGTACTGATCACAAGAAGCATTATATATAGATAATTAGGAATTCCCTTTGTGTTCCCTCTTTATCTTATACTCTGCCTTCTCTCTGTTTACCAAACTGTTAACCTCAAGGTCTTCCTCTTTTCCTTTCACTCTTTAGGCATGTATCAAAGGATGATCTATCCTCTTGGATCTCCTTCTAGGAGGATGTAGCCTGTTGGATACCAGATTTTTCTGTATAGACGTTTCCTGTATTTTCTGTAAATGAGGTTTTTTTTTCTGTTAGAGTTACAAAACCCATTTCCATAACCTTTATAGGTCGGGTCTTGTATTCCAGGAATACAAAAGGCTTCCTCTAACAGAAAGCACTTAAATGCTTAGGGTTAAAGAAAATGAAAACTCTTCATTATCAGGGTTGTCTTTCTTTCTAACTTGACTCTTTATACTTTATTGTCTAATTAATCTAGCATGATTCCCTTCTTACTATTGTCCTTGTCTTTACCCACACCTCCCTTCTGGAATTTTACTAGAATGAGCAGTAGGGTAATTATAAGAAACTCCAGTGTAGCATAAGACTTAGCACAACTCCTCTGCCCTCCGCCTTTAGATTCACCTTTCATTGCCATTGGTTGCACTCCTTGGATGCAACCAAGAGCATCCATACAAGCAGTGTGGAGAGGGTGTGAGCAGGGCACAAGTATGGACTATGGCAGGTCAGTCTCCACCCCTACTGTAGGCAGAGAGGACCTGCACCGTCTCTGAGTTGAAGAAAGATGAAGGATATTCAGCTCAAATCCCAGCTCTGGTGACTGTGATTCCCCTTGAATTTGCTTATAACCTCCCAGAATCCTATTCTACATTAGGTCTGTGTTCATACAACATGGTAGATCGTAATTTGTTTAGCCATGGTTTATTAAAACAAACAAATAGGTTTATTTGTTTATTAGCAACACACTAAGGACCTTTGCCCACTCTGGGATCATCTTTATTCTACAAGCTCCCCATATTGTTTTCATCTTGTCCTCAGCTCATGCATGAAAAAGCCTTAAATCATGGTTAGCTGTACCAGTGATACATGTGTTTTCTTTTTTAGGCCAAGAACAACCAATGACAGTTTAAGGGTGAAGGGAACCTAACATGCTTCCTTTTCCTGCGGGTAGTGGTACACTCAGGTGATCCATAAAGGAACAGGACGAACCCATCACCTATTGGCCACTTTGGACTAGTGCTGGGCATGCCCCTTCCTCTAGGTTCAGGATGCCCTCCATGGCCACATTCCTTTTTTTTCCCCTGGGGGGGGGGAAATCAGGGTACCATTTCTGGCTGCTGTGGTATTAGAAGGATGAAGGCATATAATGAATGATAAAGGAGACAGCTTGTGGATTCTGAGACTGCCACTCCTCCTCCTTTATCATAGACTTCCATTGTTTTGCTAGACAGTTTATCAGCCAAGTAAAGCAATGGAGACTTTACTGTTTACTAGGCACATTGCTTTGTAGGGATAGTAGTAAAGCTTCTTTATCAATATCATCAGCTCCCTACAGATCATCTGTCTTGTGCTCAAAGCAAGCCTGTCAAACAGATAATCAGCAACAGGATTGCCCACTAAATCAATAAATTCTCTCCTACTTTACCAGATTGGCAGGAGGGCGACATATTTTATTTTGGCTTAGGTTTCTGCTGGCTGAAGGATGGAAATATTTGCCAGGCAGATTTCTACCAGTAGGGAATACATTGAATACAAAGCTTGATTTTTGTGGCTTGGCTTCCAAGGGCAGTACCTCTAATGCAATGACATCACCAGAGCAAATGATCAAAATGTCTGACTTTTGTTTGGGTGAGGGGAGGCAGGTTAAATTAGGAAAATGCATTTTGCCCTCACATTTGAGAGAAATAAAACAATAGCAGGAAATTAAAATTAGTGCTTCTCTCCCATCCCCATCCCATCCCCATAATTGGGGGATACTTTAATTCCTATAAAATACTTGCTGTCAATCATGGTTTCCAATGCAGTTGATAGATTCACAGTAAGTTACAAACTGCATCATTACTTCTGGTGTCAGGTGAACTCATTCTAAAATACAGTTTCCACTTCTGGAAACCATCAATGTGGAATCTTTTGATTCGTCTCATACTGGAAGCCATACTAAATTGGGTTAAATTTGCAAGCAAGATTAGCATAGGCATTATTCACATGGCCGAGATGACTTTCTTGTCAAAAAACTGCAGTCTTGCATGAAGTGCAAAGTGCACTGTAGTGTAGCCAACAGAAATGAGTAAATAATTAACAGAATTTGCTTACTTACAGATTGGGAGAGAATGATGCCATCGATTTTGATGGCAGGGACTTGCTGCATTGGATTCACTGCTTGAAAGTCTGAAGTCATCTGGAGAAACAAGATAATTCCTCAGGCCCATGAGATTCTTCAAATTAAGTTGAACATATTCAAGGAAGTTCTTCCAAAGATGGAAGTTTAGGGGGGCATGGGGTATAGGCTTGTCACTCCATTCACAAAACTAAATGTCTCTCCTTTCAGGATTACACTTGCACATAGTATCTTCCATATACTGATATACATTGATAATGTATATTCTGTTGCATTCCACAGGGAAAGATAAAGACAAGCTCAATTCCTAGTGATCTACCCTCCATGTAATTTCCTTGCTAACAGCACTGAAGTGGTTTGTGCTACTTTCTCCTGAGATGTTTTACAACTTCCTAGGCCACAGCTGCCATCAGCTTCAACCATAGTGCTAGCCAGGGGTAGGCAACCTTGGCTCTTTTATGACTCGTGGACTTCAACTCCCAGAATTTCTGAGCCAGCCTGGTTCAGAAATTCTGGGAGCTGAAGTCCACGAGTCATAAAAGAGCCAAGGTTGCCTACCCCTGTGCTAGACCCTCAAACATTCTTATTGTAATGCAACGCTCACATATTACACACGGACACAAATTCACATACCAGTTAATGGCTACATTTCTAATTTTGAGTGTTGTGAATCTTATTATATTTCTTATAATGAAGCATTTTACCTATTGACCAAGAGTAACTACATTGGGTATTATAAATAACAATAATTTTTATCTCAAAAAGTAAACTGATGAGGAACAGGGATTTGACTAGAAGACAAGAAATGGGTTGAGAACTCCAAATGCCAAATCAACTTGCTTTCAAATACAAATCACACACTTACCTTTGAAAACCAGAACAAAATACCCATTTCACAGAAGATAAACTGTAATCCTCATGGAAATATGTATACAAAAGAACTACAAATAAGCTATCATTCCACAAACAATGTGAGTACAATTTCCATTCCCACTAAGTTTTGAACAGAATATCAGAAACCACATTCCAATAATCAAATAGGCAGATCCAGGAGGGGTCAATTTGGGGGAATAGTTTTTAGGATGATAAGGAACAGGTAGGTGATTTAAGTACCCACAGAATTTTAGACTCCCATTTTATTTTTTAATTTTTGCGAACAATTTTCCCCAAATGCTGGAAGGACTTAAATGTTGATCTACCTACTGAGGAGGTACAAGACAAATGCAAGTGGGCCATCTTTTTTACACCCTTATCTTTTGCATGCACACAGACATACAAATCCAGGCAATCCTCTTTTCACCTCCTGATCCCTTTGACATGGTCTTCAGCATATAATGCACTAGCAGAGAAGGCCCTGTGTCATCAGCATGCACCAGTCAACCAAGAATGGAGTATCACTGATTTATATTCCTGGCCCAGTTAAAGAACTGAGTTATTGAAAAGCACCACAGAGGAACATTTACTTTGCACTATTAATTGTAATGAGCAAAAATCAGGCTTCTGATTAAGATAAGAAGAAGAATGGTGCTGGATTACAGCAAACTCCAACTTGTATCTTCCTTCTCACAGCGGCTGGTCAGATACCTCAGAGAAGCCCATGAGTAGGACATGAGAATAATTAAACGAACTGCTCCGAAGCACATGGGGAAGGGTCATTTTAATCCTCTTTAAAGAACTTGAGATTTTACAGCAGATAGTAAGTTCTCAAATAACAAAACTGCCATGAATAAAATGAATGCTGTTCTCAGTGAACTGCCTGCAAACAGAACTTGCCCATGTGAAACAGGATACTGAAATCCAACATCATTTTTTTTTGTACTACAGAACATATAATGATATTTAAGAACACTAGAACTCTCTTTTATAGTCAGTTTCCCAGGACATTCAGATCTGTTTTATCTTCAATTGCCTAAAGAAAATCAGGAGGACCTTTTTTTCAGCGAACACATTTTATTAAATTAATGTTTTATTAAAATTTGTAGAAGTAAAGGTGTTACCATGTTTCTGATTTTTTGTTATCATAGATTAATATGGTTCTCCTGCTACAATGGCTCCAATTACCTGCTGTTAGCTCAAAGCGCCTTCGTTTTAAATGTCTCTAAATTCTGTTACAATATTTATATAACTTGTACAGAGCAAATTGGTAAATAATAGAGTTATCTGCTAATTTATGTTATTTTACTCTTTGCTTTACAGAAATCTTATAACTTTATAATGCACTAAGTTACAGGTGTTTTTTTAATATTCCATATTTTAAAATTACTCTAATTACTATAGCTTTAATTTCACTTTTATATTACTACATTTGTATAGCTTTCATCTTAATTGTATGTGGTTTTTACTGTTTTTATATTTTGTCTAATCATGTTTTACAGCTAAAGCTGTCCTTATCATATTGGTTCCAGATTTTGTTATATACTGTTTCTGCTTTGGTCAATGATCATAATAATAGGGATTTCCTTACCTGCTGCCCTCCATCCTTTATAAGATTTATGGATGCTTGTTCATAGGCAATTCCCTTAAGAGCCAATGCTACCAAGAGAAAATTTAATACAATTACCTACTGTAATACTGAATTGTTTAGATTTTTAAACTTTTGTGACATTTTCTAAATTGTAACCAGACAAAATCACTAAAATATCGCAATAATTCTTAACAAATCTATAGCAATGAAAACCATTTGTTTCTGAGTAAAATGGATGGTGCAATAATTAAAACAATAGTAGTTGTTTGATTCATTCTTACCAGTTTGCCAAACTGATGAGCTAATCTGCACCCTATATTAAGTACAATTTAACTATAGGTATTCAATGAAATGCCAGGCCAGTTTTTTTGAATCACCCATGTTTTACAAAACTGTAATGGCTGTATTTATATAACCAGCGCTTTTTTTTGTAAAAAAAAGAAAAAAAGAAAAAAAAAGGTGCCGGAACTCACACATCATACAACCCGCCTTGCCTACCCTACAAGTTCCTTCCAAAAAAGGTGCCGGAACTCAGTTCTGGGCGTTCTATGACAAAAAAAGCCCTGTATATAACACACTATAGTGGTCTGTATGAAAGACCTTAGGAGTCTGGGCAAAGAGAGAATGGTGGTAAGATAAGAGATAGCCCAGCCCACAGTTACATAGTAAGTGGAGCAAGAGGTTCAGAAGAGACTCAACCTAGTTTCTTGGGCTGTAAAGAAGTGTGTGTGTGGGGGGGAGGAGACTTGCAAGTCTATACTTTCAGACTTATAAAATTCTGCTAATGTAGCTTTACAATAAAACAGAATTAGCTGATCTGGTCGTGTTTCCTACCTGATCTACCTTGTAAGACTGGCATATACTAAGAGAGAAATTACTATGTGGTTCAATAAGTAAGCAGAATGTTTTCCTTATTTACCCATTAAGTACAGAACGGGAGCTTATTCCATTTTATTCTAGCTATTCCATCTTATTCTTATAACAAAACATAGATGAGGTGACACTTTGTCCCGTTGGCCTCTTTTCCCCATTGCCATTTGACTCCAGTGACTGAAATGAATGAAGATTGGGAATTAAAATGACTACACCATCAAAGGCTGGGTAGGAGTGGTTGATGACTGGAGGGGGTCCTGAAAAAAATAAGCATCTGGTTACATTTTACCTTTTTTTTTAAACACACTAGACTTCAATGATTAGCCATCAGATAACCATCAGATAAATAATGGGCAGCACCCTCCCCCCGACAACTTATTTTTGGGAATTACCAGCATCAACATTGACTCAAAGGTACAAAATATGTATCAGTTGAATTTAAACTGGCTATATGGTGTAGCAATCCCACAATTGCTTCTCTTGGTCTATACACTGACCAAGTATGCTATAAATCCTGTCTGCCAAGATGCTACATTTGATAAGTTCCCAAAGACGGATCTTTTCTGCCATGGCACTTGCTTATGAAACATCTTTTCTGAAAGTCCCTCAAAATCAGGCCTGGGACCCACAAGGGACTGGTGAATTGCTGAGCTGGCTCCCCTGCATTTAATATTTGCTGCCCTCACTTTGCCTTTTCACCATAATTTTTCATTCTCTGAATTTGATAACTGTTTTATATTACTATTTTATCGCTTTATTCTACAGTGTCCAGGGTCATTTTTTTGTGAGACAGCCAGTTATATAAATATGATGAATGAAGTAATAAATTCCGGTGACTAAAACGTGGGGACCTATTGCATGCATGCTACAGCTGCTGCTGTCTCATGAACATGTGGCCTCTTTCTGCAGGGGAAGGTTATAGTTCTGGTGCAGAATATGCTAAATATTACATGAATGCTCCAATGTTTACTTCCTGTTTAATGTTGAACCATTCACTGAGCATTCTATTTCTTTTTACACAATCTTTATTTCCATCATGTATCAGTCAACAGCCACTTTCACAACTAGGAAATGGACCCTTCATATAGGGCTCTAGGCCTTGAGAAAGGCCAGCAGAGTCAGGGTCGTACTAATCTCTGGAAGGAGAAAGTTTCATAGGGTGGGTGCTATGAGAGAAAAGGCCCAGGTTAAGACCTAGTGTCATAGATTCGCCCCTGAAATCCTCTTCAGATGCGAGATAGAGGAGGGTGAGTTTAAGTGCAGAGGAAAGCATGGAGCCAAGTATTGGTCAGGATTGGGGCTCAGAGAATGCTAGCCTGATGGGAGTAGCCTCAACTGGGTCGATTGGATAAGTGACAGGCTAAGGCTGAGGCTGAGGCTGAGGGAGGCGAGCTGCAGCAAGTTGGCTGGGAGGCTCCAGGCGAAGATTGGAAGCAATTGCCGCCCATTTGTAATGAGTAGGAGGTGGAGACCACACCTCTTCCTGATCCAAGGACACATAGAACAGAGAGGAGGCAGGCACAACACCGGTCAGCTAGACTAGTCATGAAGAGGCAACCTCACCTCATGAAGGGATGTACTCACTGCATTGCCTACTTAACCCCACCCTGAGGACTTGAGTGTTGCTGGAGCAACATGCCCAGTTCTGTGCCTTGTGTGCTTGTGCCATGTATCCTGGCTTGTTTGATTCTTGGTCTGCTTTCCTGGACTTGGTGTGTACCCTTTGGACTTGGTGTGTACCCTTTGGACTTGGTTACCCAGTGACTCTCGCTGAACTGAGCTTGAAATATGGACCTGCGCAACAGAGGTGCTTTCCAAGGACCTGTTTGGGGGGTTTGAATAAACAACTTTAGAACTCTTGCCATACCTGTGGAGGGGGGGATTGGGCAGCACACCTGTCTATGCTTGCTTTGACAATATTTTTTGCAGCTTTTTCTAAATATATACACTTATTTGGTATCTTTTAATTTTTGCAACAACTATACTTATGTTCTCTTTATTTTTATTTATTAAATTTATGTGCTGCCCATCTCTTGCATTTCATTATTCTATCAAACATTTCCATTTGTGTATCTACATAAGTCTGTGGCACTTGGTAAAACATCCCCCCCACCTTCCCGGTTCCAAGCATCTTCTACATTCTCTTTCCTTACATCTGCTTTCCATTTAGTCTGCTGGAAGAATAATAATCTGTTTTTCATACAAGACTATGTGATACATCTGTAAAGTGTTCTCTTCTTGAGGTTTTCCCTTCATTTTCATTTCTTCAACCTTTTTACACTATTTAACCTTTCCCCCCTCCATTAAAATCCACTCTTGGCAGTAGTACGGTATGAAATGTTCTCACGTTCAAAAGCTCTTACCATTTTTGCATCCTTTGCTAATTCTCTTTCATCACAAAGTAACAAATCAATAAAATGTTTAGGTATATTCCTTTGCCATGTATATCCAAATCACATTCCAAAAGAATAAACTAAATAAAAACATGTAATTGCTTTTTCCATATATCCTGTAATATTAAGTGATCAATCTTTGAAATTCTGTTCATTTCAGTCATCATATGGGATACTGCATTCTCCATGGTTTACATATGCTGAGAAAATCCCAACAGTTTGCATTAGGATTGCATGCCATTCGCAACTGTTAACAAAGTTTTCCAGTTGTTTTGGACTACATCTTCCAAAGTCCTTTGCTATTAGCTATTTTGCTCAGAACTAAGGTTGAAAGTTGAAGAATGAAACATTTAATAAGTAATGAATTAGGTTTTTTACTTCTGTCCCAATGTAAAGAGGAGACTTCTTCAATTCACTTAAAATAGTAATTTGCTTGCTGCCAGTCTATAATTTACTCAATCAGTTGAGTAATTAAGTTAAATACAGTTAAGCAATTGGCTGCATTGCAGGAAATAAAAATCTCTACCAGAGGAATTAACAATATTCCTATAAATAAAATTCAACAATTATTCTTACCGATTCGCACTCTCCAGGAGCAGGAGCTTCTGAAATAAGTGTAAAGAACTGGCTACAGGAAAAAGAAAAAAAAAGTTCAAAGCTACAATGTAAGCTCATTAATTTCAAGCTTTAAATTACATATAATGTAAAAAATATTTTTGAAGGTTAAGCTGACAGTCCTAGGCAGCAAAAATCCAAACTAGCACTGACTTGCAACAAAGAGATCAGTAAACCAATGGCAAGCCCAGAACAGTAATACTATTAAGCAGGCATTGCAACTTTCATGCTGACTGTCTGAAGTTGAATTAACTCACAAAGGGCAGTTGAAATACTACATTTTTTAAAGAATCTTCCACCATTGTTATTTGTTTAGCCAAATGTATTTCATGAAATATCCCTTTTGACAGAAGATTATACACAGAGAAGATCGTTCAGAGAGTTGCAGCTCCTGCTCTAAAAAGAAGCAGGCTCTGAAGCCAAAGGGTGAAGATAAGAGCAACTACTGCTCTAAAACAGAGAAGAATGAAAGTGTGTAAAACACATACCCCACGAATGCAATGGTAACATGACAGCTCCTGAGCTGTGTCAAAAAACTTTATTCTCACCTTTTTGGAAGTCTCCATGCTAAGTACACTGTGCACACAGAGTACGGTATTGCTCAGAACGAAAGCTCGCTCAGATAGTTTTGGCTGGGGCGGGGAACAGGAGCTTCACTTGCAGCCAATCACAGCTGTCAGAATTCAGAGGCGCAAAGAAATTGCAACAGCTCATTCCTCCATAGATTTTACTCTAGCATATTGGAAAAAAAACAGACAAGCAACAATGCTATGTCTATTCTGCTCAACAGAAATGCCTTTTTGTTTTACAGAATTGGCCAATAGTGCCCTGCACTTCTAAATAACTTCCTTCAATTCCATAATTCAATTCTTACAGAATTCAAAGCATTCTGAAAGGCCTGGAAAATGCAAAACAGAAGGCATAAGGAAAGAAGTGCTGGAGCAGAATAATATCTATTCGCTCAATCATTTTCTTTCTGCACTGATCTCCAGAAGCAGAACTTGTGGGCTGTAGCAACTTTCTCTTAATATTTCCCAGAAATTCTTACTGTGGCGCTGCATCAAGACTTTCACATTACGCCTATTGCAGCATAAACACACTTCTTTAAAAGGAAACTAGAAAGAAGCTCAAGTTACTGTGACTGACTTTCCTATATAGGTAGTCCTCGATTTACGACCACAATTGAGCCCAAAAGTTTTGTTGCTAAGTGAAACATTTGTTAAGTGAATTTTGCCCCTGTTGAAAGAAAAATCATCAGATCCAGTCCAAGCCGGGAGTAAACAAAATGGAGGCTAAGACGCTGGAAATAAAATAGAGGCTGCTTGGGAAAGAAGATTCTGTTTATTGAGTTGCCAGAAACTTCAGTGACACAGCATGTTTCTGGGCTGGCTGACAAAATGGAGTTGGGATAAGTGGGCTTTTATACCTTCTTTGGGCTTTGTATTTGAGGTTCTTCCTATTCCTGTGGAATGTACTTTGACCTGAGCTTGAGTATGCCCTTTTGGTGTTCTAATGGTGGTGGGTTAATCCTATTGTGTCCTAAAGGTCATGTCTTTAGATTTTGGGTGGGGGGGGGGTGTAGATTTTAGGGATCTTTGTCTTTCACATCAGCTCCAAGCTTCCTGGCCCCAGTTTTCCTGAATTAATCACCAAATCTGCATTTCTAAAAGCTGGTTTCTGCTTGGGGCAGAGAGACTTGGGGGGGGGATGGTTTCTACCTAAGATTTTTCTATTATTCCTTTGGAGAAATGTAACATTCTGCCCTTTTGATATCCTCCAAAATATTTCCTTCTCTCAGGGGTGTGCTGACTTCCTACACCCCATTTCACGACCTTTTCGGCTGCAGTTATTAAGTGAATCACTGCAATTGTTAAATTAGTGACACCATTGTTAAGTGAATCTGGCTTCCCCATTGACTTTGCTTGTAAGAAGGCCACAAAAGGTGATCACATTCTGGGACACTGGGACATTGCAACTGTCATAAATATGAGACAGTTGCCAAGTATCTGAATTTTGATCACATGACCACAGGAATGCTGCACTGGTTATAAGTGTGAAAAACAGTCATAAGTCACTTTTTTTAGTGCCGTTAATTTTGAACGGTGACTAAATGAACTTTTATAGGTCAAGCACTACCTGTATGCTGTTGACTTTATGATATTCTTACTGGAAAATATACCGGTAGCCTGTGGTTATGAGTGCTTAGAAATCAAAGTGATTTGCTAGCCACAATGTTGAAACATTTATATTTGTATTAGATAGAAAACCATTTGGCTTGAGAAAGGATTTCTTACCAGTGACTCTAACAGGAAACTGATAAAAAAGATACTAGAAGGCCTAGTATGAATTATAGTTACCTTTTCTCAGCCAAAGAGAAACAAAATAGGTCAAGATCCTTCAAGGCAATTTCCAGTCACATCTACATTCGCTGCTTATCAGCATTAGGGAAATACATCACCTACCCAATCAAATAATTTACAAATTACTACATTAGATCTTGTCTTAAAACCATGGGGCGAGGCTGAAAACCCTGGGGAATCTTCATTATTTGGCTTCAAAGCCTGCTCCTTCAAATACACACTTCACATGATCTGCTTCACTAAATGTTTCATACAACATGCTGGACATCCCTCAACCCAAATATTTGTTGTTACTCTACTGCAATCATCAAGGACTAGTTAACATCATAAAACTGCATAAAAACACAGATTATAACCAGAAGAGCCTTGGGCAAAGGGGAATCAGAATAATGCAAGCAACATTGCAATACAAGTCCTGCTCCTTTTCTACATGCATTGTGACACAGAACATACGCTTCAAGGCCATTTTTGCCATTTTAATGAAAGCAGTGAGAGCTGACAGATTTGACTAAACATAAGAACCCTTTGATTCATTATATGCCATCAAGCTACTGTAGGGTTCTAATAACCACATAATTTTTTTTCATGATAATCCATAAAGTACAATAATAATTTATCACACACAAGATAACTATTTATAGATTTAAACAAGGATATGTACCTTGATTTTTTTTTAAAATGGCTATGTATTTAATTTTATAAATTTAAAACTATGATGCATTGCCTTTTGTTTTCATGACATTTATTCATTCCAGTCAACACAATACATAGCTTGATTCATATAGACTATCATTATTTGTACGCTATTAGCACATTCATAAGTGTGTACTTCAATCTTCACTTGTTGGCCTAGCATTTCCATCTTTATTGTAGGATCCATTTTCTTTTCTACTGTATAGAAAACTGTATACTGTTGGAACCTAACTAACTACTGGGCATATTCACACGATACATCAACTGCCAAATGTAGTTTAGTTTCATGATGTTTGATGATTCCTCTTCTTGGTTCCATGGCTGCAAACAGCTATTTCCACTTCATATACCAGCAGGGAAGCTATGCAAACCAGATGCAATGACCATTTTTGCTTGGAATAAACTTGAGAGGGAATCTTCTGGTAAGTTTTATTACAAGTTTTCTCTCAGATTTATTTTAACCATAGACAGTCTTTACACCAAGTTTAAGTGAGATAACCATTGGAAAACATTGGAAGGTTTGCAGCTAGAAGACTTAGCCAGAGTCCTCAGGTGTTCTTGCGGCCAAGCTGTGATTGGTAGTGATGGTCATGTTACATCCACCAAACACAAAATGTTGTATATGCCTACCTATGTTAAAATTGCCACAAAGCAAACATGCTTCTTCATACTGCCAACCTTCTTGCTTCTCCCAGAAATGTAGAAACCATCAATAATAGCTTTCCTTCACTGGAAAAAGCAAATGATTTTACCAAGTGCTTAATAGCATGCCCATTTACTATACCTTAGTTACCTATTAGTGACCAGTTCACCAGTTCATTTTGATGTTCAATAAGGTTGTTAAAATAATTTCACTAAACTGTTTTTGAAGGAGTAGGCACAAATGAAATTAAAATCCCCGTATCTATAATCGTGACTAAAGGTTGAGACTAGTTGAATAAAATATTGTTGATCCCACTTATATTTTAACAGGAATACCCCACAACTCTAATCTTCTTGCCTGGCTCCACAATTTTGCCTTTATCTCATCTCCCAGCCTCACTGGTATTATAGTATTTCTCCTCTCAGTTTGATACTGTCAAATGATTGCTTCTGAAGCCAAAATCTTAGCATAAAAGTCACTGACTCTTGTGGCTATGGCTAGAAGTAGCCTATGCTAAGGATGGCTTGAAAGGAACATACACAGTCCTCCCTACCTGTCACTAACCAGCTTGCATCTCAGCCATTTCTCTCAGGCCTTTGCCATTTCCATTAGCACTTTACTTTTGCATTCTGCATAATGCCACAGAAGGGAAAGGGAATAGTGTGATACGCCTATATGTACATATTTTAAGTCTACTCACCTTCTACCCCACATGTTTTTGATATCACTTTTTCTCCAAGGTCTCTTAGCAGCGACAAAGAAAGCAGAACCCTCACCTCCCATTTCACTTGAGAAAGTCAAGTTTTTCCCCTATTCTGATTTACCTGCACTTTAAAATGTATTGTTATTTTGGATGTAGCAGTCCTCCTTTTTCTCACAGCAAAATTTAGATAATAGTAAATGACATTATGCACTGGGCTTTGCTTTTATTTGCCAGTTTGGAGACATTTGTCAGGTACATTTACTTTCTTTCCTCTCCAAAGAAATCAGCTGGTCAGTTCCAGTTCTCAGCTTCACACAAGATAGAGCCAGGAAGGCAGCTGGGTCACCTTGGCCCAATACCTCCCTCTCAGCCCTAGGAAGCAGTCAATGGCAAACTACTTATGAAATCTTGCAAGGGAAAACTGCAGGGACCTGTCCACACAGTCACCAGCAGCCAACACTGACTCAATAGCATATAACAATTGCTACAGAACTATCTAATTGCACAACCATAGCAGGATCTGCTTTTCTTTCCTATAGCTATTTTGGCTCTAGTAGCATCCTTTTTGTGTGTGTGTGTGTCTATTTTTCTTGGGAGATGCCCAAATTGTCCTTAGGAGGAGAGGCAGTCAATAGCCCTGAAAGGGGACCCATTTAATTTGTGTTTCATTGGTCAACTGGTAGAGGTTTTCTCTGCTGGCTGTAGATATAATAAAGGGGGAGGGCAGGGAAGCCAAAGGAAAAAAAATCATCATCATCTTATACAAACCAGAAATCCAGGACAGAGCAAAGGCAGTAATGAAGGATAGGGATGTCAATAGGTAAGATGAGTAATACGTTTTTACTGGCACTAATTTGTGCCAACTCAAGGAGGGGTAGCCAGCAGTTTGACACCCCTGGTATAGAAGAACTGGATTCTAGGAATTCTAGGAATTGCATTTCCTATAAGTTTATTTATGGCCCCAAATATGCTCCAACCTCTACCTCTGGCTTCAGATTTCAAACCCTCATTCAACTGCATGCAAAGATTAGCCACGGTTCTAAAGGACTTCAGAATCAATATTAATCTCGTCTGAGCAGTTTAACTACCGTTATTATCTTAAATATTTAAGTTAGCTATTAACTATTAAACTCTTTAATTTAAAAGACTTTTAACTCTTAAGTGGGATAATCAAACTGGAGTCAGGTTGTTAAAAGAAGTATTCACGACGACAGAAACCAACTATATCGTGTTCTTTTATCCGCGCAGCTGCCGGGGAAAGGAAGGCGGTAGTAACAATACCTTTGCTAACGCGGCACACATCTCGCACTCTCCCCATTGACACGTATCTGGTTGGGAGGAGGGAACCAGGCTCCTTTAACAATGGGCGTGAGCTCGGACGCCTCACGTTCCGCGTTGTAATATTAGTATTAGATACTACGGACTTAATGAATTACCCCGTTCCGGCGAATTGTTGGGATTGTGGGAGTTGTAGTTTCACATCTTCCCAGCTTGTCTCTGTAATTTTGAAGAGCAGCATCAATAATATGCCATGATCTTTTTAATAGCTTTGTTTGTTTGTTCAATTTCTAAGGCTGCCCATCTGGGTCAATGACTCAGAAGCATTATGTATTTTAATATAGCTTAGGTTAGTGAATATGTTATATAGAAAGTGAATATGTTACCAATTGGGAGTGAATGCAACCTTCTTCATTAGGTCCATGCACTGCAGTATGAATGCTTTTATTTTTCTTGATTCTCTCCCGTGTTATTTTTATCACTGTCCTTTTTTCACTATTAAGAAATGCACTTGATTTCATTACACAGAATAAAGTTTGAGAGAAGAAACTGGCTGATTGCATTGTTCTTGGGATTGAGACTGGCAAAGGCTCCTAATCAGTAGATAGTTCAAACAATACCTATGGTCTTGTGAAATTATAATTATGTATTGGATATTTTTCATATGAGGAAACTTAAGGATACAAAAAATGGTCAATAACAGAATAAAATATAAATTTAAAATTTGCTTCTATAAAGTTTACGTGAAATCTTCCCTTCACTTTGCATACACACGCGCACTTTATTATACTGTAATCTTTCCACGTGGTACTAGGCAATATCATAGCTAGGCAAGGAACAAAGAACTGGCAGGAGACTCAAAAGTAACTATTAAAGGATTTGAAGGAGTTTGCACTTTTTGAGACTAACAAATTTTATTTATTCAAATTGTCAGCATATCTGAAAAGGTACTTCCAGAATCCTGATTTTAGGCTACATTTGGATTAACTTACTACATAGACTAATATGGCTGTGCTCCTACAGTGATTCAAAGAACAACAATTAAAAAAAGAATTGACTAAACATCCAGGAATATTCAAGTAAGTGGCCTGAAAAAATTCTAACTAAACTGGGTTGCCAGAAATAATTGTGTCTGTGTTGAAACTATTGTCACATATACTCTATATAATACTGAAAAACATTGTGCCTTGTGTATTTTGGATATTGAGTCTAAGTTTCAAGTTACATTTAGGTGACAATCCAACTGAGCCGTTACTCAAATGACAGCACATAAAATCTTGGCATAGCCTTTCACATCTTCCTGATTATATGAAATGAGCACATTATTTTTTTTATAAGAGGATTTTTTTTTAAATGAAAAGTCCATCGGACCGAATTATTTATTAAAAGCAAACTTAGGTAAAGTCATTTCACTGAATACAAAGTGGCAAGCAAGATCTAAATTACAATTCTTCCTATATAACGGGCATACAAAAAAAGTTAGTGCCCTATTTTTTGCACTTGGAGTGCTGAGAGATGTAGCAGCCAGGAAAGAGATGTCACTGGCCCACTTTGAGCACAGATGGATAAGCAAAAGAGTGTTTTGAAGGATTTGTCGAGTCCAACAAAATTAAGGCACTAGGCTATGACCATAACAGTATAAAGAGCAAGCTCATTGATGCTGATGGAAATTGGTTCTGAGGCTTAACTTCATACGAGTACATAGCCATATTTCAAGAACTACATTTCCCACAATGCTGTAAAAAAAAAAAGTCAGTTTTCTGCTTCCCTCACGTGGGTGCAAATACCCGACCCTTTTGCCCAACATGCCTCTCGAAATGGACTCTACTTCCCGTGATGCGCTGCGCCCGGTTACGGGAGCCGACGGGAGGCGCCTCCCATCAGGGCGCGAATGCCACTAGCAACGAACAAGAATTGCCCGGCTGTGCTGGGCCTCCGGCAGCGAAAAACACTCAGACTGGCGAGTGCTCCCGTCTTGGCTCCCTCCATCCGCGCGAGTCCCAGGCGGCTCTGGAGCCCCCTCGCCTTCGTCACTTTCCTAAGCTTTGCTACGCGTTTCTACCGGCTGCGGGAGCCGCCGCACATCTGGTATTGGGTTGCGGGATACCATGGCGACGGGGGCGGGGCTTTGTTTTAGAGGCGGGATTTGTCGGTGGAAGAGAGGGGTTTTTTTTCTTTTGCATTGGAGCTCATTTCAGATAGATTGAAGATTGGTTGTTTCCAGATCACTTGTGTATTTACTTGTTGGTTGACCTGCCTTGGGGTCGTTTGCCCTGAAAGGCAGAATATAAGCAAAAGTAACATTTTTGGTCTATTCTTTTTCCATGTGCATTTCTGTCCTCCTAACAACCTTAATGAGTTGGGTTAGACTGGACTGGAGTAATTACAGTAATGGCTAAAATTATGGAAACCTTTTGGGAAAAATGTACAGTAGAAATGGCACCTTTGGTTAAGTTTCCACCAATTTTTCTTCTAATTTTTTTTTATAACTGTAGCCTTGTTCACTTAATAATACTATTTTACATTGCTTTTGGGGCAACCAGTCAACTCTTTGCACCATTATTTTAATTTTATTACATTACTAGCTGTACCCGGCCACGCGTTGCTGTGGCTCAGTCTGGTAACAGCGTGTGTTGCTTTTACGTCCAACAGATGGTGCTGTTTTTCAAAAAAACATGTTTTTACCTGTCACAGGTGTGACATCTATATAATATAGGTATATAAAACACACGCGTATTCGAATGCAACGTTGTGTCAAAATTTCAAAGCAATCGGTGAAGAACTTTTGGAGATTTAAGATTTTGAACAAACGAACATTTACATTTTTATTTATATATAAGATAAGATAAAAGCTCACTAAATGAAAGAACACAAAAAAACCCCCAACCAACTAGATAGCGATCACATAACACACTGACAAATGTCCTCCTCTCAGCTTCAATACATTACATCAATAACTGAATCCTACTGTGATCTGATTGGCTCATTGCCAAAACAAGATGACACCTAATTGGCTCTCTAAACACTCATGTTCATTGGCTACAATCAGATGAAGGAAAGCTACTTGATATCAACCTAAGCAAGTTGTGCTTCCTTTTTCTGGTTATTTGGCTATAACCTTTCATAGAATACAGTACATATAATTGAACAAACTTTGTTGCATTACATTCTTGATTAAATTATCTTTCCATTGATATATAATTTTATAGTACTACTCCAAAAAAAGTGGTGTTATTAGCTATCAAACCTCAAAAATACACTTTTCCCAAAAGGTTTCCACAATTTTGGCCACTACTGTAGTCCAAAGGTACCCCGTAGCTTTATTTGAGTGAAGATACAGTCTTGGCTTTTGGTTTAGTCTGGATGTAAACCTGAATATGTGGCGTAATGTAGAGGATAGAACAACCAACATAGAATGGATGAAATACAAGAATCTGACCTGGTTAAGCAAAATTCAAATATAGCAGGATTCAGAACACCGTTTTTGACACAAAGAAATGACCAAGCTCCTTGCACTTCTGTTTATCTGCAATATTGTACATTTTCCAAGGCACATTATTGCACTCTTAGAAACATCACAAAAGAAATATGAAAATACAGAGAAATCGAACAGAATTTGTCTCAGTAATCAAGCATTGTTTGTTTCTGTGGTCAAGCATTGGCTTTGTAGTAAAAGAAGTGTTAATATGTTAAATGTGATAAATATCTGTGCAAGTCCATTCTACAACATTTTTTATTGAGGGTACTTTGTGTAGAGAATTTTGAGGTATGGCATTTAAATCTATGCAGCAGTAGTCCTTTATCTTGCTGTCATTAATGTCATACTGACTACTGTAAGTAGTCCTGCAATTTAGTCCATCTCTGCTGTTAGTTACTGCAAATGGCATAAGGCCTGCTTCTATGTGGTACTGCCTCATAATATTTGCCTGGCCAATTCAATCCTGCAGGGATTTTGCACAACAGGTTCCTTTAATTCAGGGGTCTTCAAACTTGGCCCTTTTATGACTTGTGGACTTCAACTCCCAGAATTCCTCAGCCAGACACGCTGGCTCAGGAATTCTGGGAGCTGAAGTCCACAAGTCATAAAAGGCCAAGTTTGAAGACCCCTGCTTTAATTACACAGTGCCATTTCAGGACCTTGGAAGCATACCTTCTCTGTAGCAACACCTGCCCTCTGAAATGAGGTTCTCCCCTAGATTTGGACAGCCCTTACCCTGCAGGTATTTTGAAGGGCTTTTTAAGGCATTTGGCAAGGGAGAATGATGCCCCTTTGTTTGGTTCCTGTCCATTTGTCATTCTTGCGATACAAATATAATGCTTGCAACTTTATAATGTTTACAAGTTTCCTGTAAGCATTATAGTAAAGTAAATAAAAATAAGAGTGATATAATGTAGAGTTATTCATGCCAAAGCCTATGCCTTAAAATGAACTTACGTTCGTCTAATTATAATTAGGATCAAATAGCTGGGACATACTTTCTTGATTTATTTCTACCAGGATGAATTGGAGTGTGAACTTTTCCAAAATGGACACTATACTTTTACAGCAAAGTATGATTAGTTTTCAGTTTTCATGTATATCCTGGTTATAAGATTTGCTTACAAAAGCTATGATCACAAATCTCAGTTTTTAATTTTTCTGAGCATATCAGCTTCCTAGAAGTAAGTTTGTACATTTTAGAGATGCTTAATTGTGCACCGTATTTTGAAGGAAATGAAGATATGTGGTGAAAGTCAATGTAATGGAGTTGCATATTTGTAGAATTAAAGAACCATATAAATTAATATGAACAAAGAGAATTCTTTACCTAGCCTTAGTAGAAACTAATTTGGAAAGATCAGGTGCTTTTTTCATAAACTACCTGCAGAACTGTTAAGAATTCATCATTCTGATAAATTAAAAGTAAAGAAGACTAAAAAATGTTAAGTATGAAGTTAAAATCCTGATAATGAACTAACATTACTTTTGTCTTTTTATAGCTGGGATGAAACACATTTTGGAAAGATGGGGAGTTATTATATTAACCGGACATTTTTCTTTGATGTCCATCCACCTTTGGGGAAGGTAAAAAGCTACTATAATATTTTAACTTTTTGAGATTTAGTTAATTTAGTTAAGACTTTTGGTGGAACATTGTTACATCCTATAAGCATTATCAACACTTCAGTGGATAGTCTTTAAAATTAATTATTTTGGCTTTATAACTTGGGTCTTGCTATCTGGCTGCTCTTTCATCCTTAGCTTGACATAAGAAACAATCTCTTTCAAAGTTGACAGATCAGTTTAAGTCTGAATGGTTTTAGTGTTACATCGTAAACTATTATTCCAAAAATGTTCAACTCTAAAAACCTTAGTGCTGTTCCAGTCCAACGGAAGCTTGCTTTTAAATTGCAGTTTTTAATGTGACAAAAGGAGGAAAGTATTCAATAACTGGCTAGAGAGTAATCATACAAAATTCTGATTTTTAAAAATAAATATGAATCTAAATCTAATTTTTTGACCTGCCTTCACCCATTATGTTTTGGAATTCAACTTCCAGATTTGAAAATGTATCCTATTTTTTTAACATTTTGTTTGATGATTAGAATTTCCAGAGTTTTGTCATGGATAAAATTTTATAATATAGGAAGTTTGGGATGCCAGTATTCCTAACACTAGGAGGGCCAGTATTTATAGAGGTATTTTTTTCTTGGCATGCCTACTATATACTTTCATTATATGTTTTGGAATGACAACTATTAGAAATAGATTGACTTTGTTCATTATTTTCTATCTGTGCTATTACCTTTTATATCAGTTAGCTTCCATTGTAATCTATGGCTAAACTTCATCTTCCTTAATTTAACTGCTTCTGGTCTAGACTTTTGTTAATGTTTTTGATCTGATGCTTGCCTATAAGTTGATAAGGAGGTCATGATAGCAATAGCTTTCTTCCATTCTCATTACTCCTGCTTAACATATTTAAGCACAAGGTTTATTTTTGAAAGTCATGAGCTATAGGCAATACTTTTTATTTACTTATCAAATGTTTTTGGTTTGATCTGATAAACTTTTGAATTGTCTTCTGCTTTACTAATATTGTTCCTTTTTGTCCCTAGATGTTAATAGGACTTGCTGGCTATCTGAGTGGCTATGATGGGACTTTTCCTTTCCAGAAGCCTGGGGACAAATATGAACAACATAACTATATAGGAATGAGAGCGGTAAGACTATAAATATATCTTTGGAGAACAGCAGCAAGTTTCTCTTTTTAGTTCTAGTAAGTGTTAGAGCCAGAATTTATTCTGTCTGAGACTCCTTCTGTCTGTGGAAAACTTCTTAATTCAGGGATGAAACAGCTTTTTTTCTATCAGTTCTTTCTTCTTGCAAACCTGTTCTAGAAGACTGGTATGATGGTAGCATCTATCATGGAGAGCTTCCTGAATTACTGATGATGAAAAGAAATGTTAGAGCCACTTTAGATTTTTAAGAAGAGATTTTGAAATAGCCTGTAATATAAGCCTCATTTTTTAAAAAAATATTTCTTAAATAGCTTGCTGCATGTTAACATGAAATAAAATTTATAGCTAAAGTTTTAAAATGTATAGGAATAAATAAGGGAGATGAAAATATTTATTTTATTTATGTACTGTTGCATCTCCTGAGGGAACTCTAAAAAGTTACTTCAAATTTTTTTTTTAGCAAATTCTTAATTTGTGATGCCCATCATTTCAGTTGATCCTCCTGTTAATATGAATTAAATCTACCTACGATGGAGCTTTCTTTGTCTCAAGCATGCCAATCTTTATTCCTGCACTTTTCCTGTGCAAGTAGTAACAATGTAGCCGATTGAGCTGTAAGCAGTTTGGCTACTTTGGGGCACACATATTAATGATGTTAGAGTGGAGTGAATAGAATTAAGGAATGGATTCAGTATTTGAAGATCTGGTTATTTACGAGGTAAAACAAATGAAGAAGAGAAAATTTGAGAATTGTATCTAAAGTATGCAGTGCCTAGCAGAACAAATTTCATCCTTCAATTTTTTTTAAAACACAGAGACTCTATTCACATTTAATTGGATAGTGTATTGGACAGCGTGTATATGGCTTGGATCAATAGATAGAACCCTGGTGGCTTGGTGGTGAGAATGCAGTATTGCAGGCTAACTCTGCCCACAGCCAGGAATTTGATCCTGACAGGCTCAAGGTTGACTCAGCCATCTACCTTTCTGAGGTCATAAAACGAGGACCCAGATTGTTGGAGGCAATATGCTGACATTGTAAAGCACTGTGGAGTGATATATACCTTGTTTCCCTGAAAGTAAGACCTACCCCGAAAATAAGCCCTAGGTTGATTTTTGGGGTGGGCCTAATATATGACCTATCCCCAAAATAAGCGCTAGTTTTGGGGCACGGCGCACACCTAAAAATCAAGCTAGTGTGGGAGTAGGGTGGAACTGCCCTTTGCACCCCACACCCACTTATCACACCTCCCTTGAATGGACACCTGCTTCTTCTCACCGGCCTACTTCTTCTGTGGCATCCCCCAGCCTGCATTTTGCAGTCAGAGGCCTTTCCGGAAGGCCTCTGCAGCTGAGAACTGAGCTATGGATTCAATCTGTAGCTCTGTTCTTGGCTGCAGAGCCCTTTCCAGAAGGCCTCTGACAGGGAAATGCAGGCCGGAGCTCCATTCTCATCTGCTGAATGAAGCTGCTCCTTCGGCCGCAAAAGAAGTGGGCTGGGTGGGTGGAGCTGTTGGTGCCGCCACCGTGAGGTAAGTGGAAAAGGCACCCCCGGAAAATAAGACCTGGTGCCTCTTTTGGAGGAAAAAAAAATAAAATAAGACTGGGTTTTATTTTCAGGGAAACACAGTAAGTCTTAGTGCTGTTGCTATCAATAATATTTTCTCACTTTGTGAAATTAGGAAACTATTGCATTAGCAGAGTTTAAAGAGGTTATCAATGAAGAGAGATGGAGGGCAGAACAGAACATAAACTGGAATTAAGAATTTCAGTAGCTGAATTTCTGGGAAATAACCGGCTAACTGTACAGGTAGTCCTTGACTTACAACCATTCATTTAGTGAATGTTCCAAGTTATAGTAGCACTGAAAAAAGTGACTTACAACCATTCCTTGCACTTACAACCGTCACAGCATCTTCATGGTCACATGATCAAAATTTGGGCATTTGGCAACCAGCATGTGTTTACTGAGGTCATGTGATTGCCATTTGGGATGTTCCCAACCAAGTTCCCACAAACAGTCAGTAAGGGAAGCTGGATTATCTTAACAACCTTGTGAAGAATGCTTCTCTTCCCTTTTATTCAGTTCTGTGCCTTCCTTGGTTCATGTCTGATCCCCTTCTGCTACCTCACAGTGCTGGAGCTGTCCAGATCATTGCCTGCAGCAATAATCACTGCTACCATCCTGATTTTTGGTAAGCAACTGTTTTGTATGGCTTGGTCTGTGTCCTCTATTGTGAAAGATTCAGTGAGATTACATTCAAATCAATAAAGATTATAGGATGCAAAAACACAGAAAGAAAAATATCAAAAATAGCATTAATGTCTAAAAAGACAAAACCCCAGCTAAATAGGGGACATGTAAAATATGAAAAATAAAAAAGAAGTTAAACAAAACATACACTTCAAAAAAAAAAATCCATAGTCTGGTATATAATCCAGGGTTCTCCTAGACTCGTGACTTTTGCCCATGAAGCAGGTGGCAGTTGTGGCCAGGAAGGCCTTTGAGCAACTTTGTGTTGTGTGCAAGTTGTTCCCATTCCTGGATAAGCATGCCATTCTTACAGTCACCCAGGCCCTGGTCACCTCCCATCTGGACTATTGTAATGCATTCTACATGGGGTTGCCCTTGAAGAGTATTCAGAAACTTCAGTTAGTTCAGAAAATAGCGGCTCGAATAGTTTTACAGAAGTCTAGACTCAATGCTTCTCAGTGATGGCTCCTTCTTTATGGAACATCATTCCCCCTGAGGTATAGTTGGCCCCCACATTGTTGCTTTTCCAAAATGTTTTTTTGTTAGCAGGCCTAGGAACTACAAAGACAGAATCAATCAAGTGGCTGATTTGATAGTGTTGTAGCTATTGGGGACTGGGGTGAGTTTTTAAAAAAATGGGTGTTTATTATATGGTGGATTTTTTAAAATATTGTAAGCCCCCCAGAATCACCTACAGTATGTGTAAATTGGGCTGCTTTGTAAATTTGTTTAATAAATAATAAATATTTCCCCTCAAAGAAAGCTTTATTTTTTTCACAAAATAATTCACCTTTGAAATAACAGGTTTATTTTAGATTCACTGAGATGCAGTCATCTTTTTTCTGTCTTGCCTTTGTGTATGTAGGTGTGTGTGTGAGAGAGTGAGTGAGTAGGTGTTCATCTTAGGTTCAGAATCGTCTTTCTAAGTACAGTAATGTCTCTAAAATGAAAATGTTGGGATGGCATTTTTTGCACATCACAAATTTACTTTTAGAATTCAGTATGATTATGTTCGATAAGCATTGCTAAAAAAATTTGAATGACAAAGCTAGTATATGCTTGTCTCATTTTTTTCAGACACTGGATTCATTACAATCTCACAGTACATTCTTCTTGACCCCATTTTGATGTTCTTCCTCATGGGAGCTGTACTCAGTATGGTTAAATATAATTCCTATTCAGATAGGTAAGATGACAGCATTTGATCATCTTAGGAATTAGATATGTGCCCCTTGTCTCTATTACAGAGTATTTGTATTTATTTTTATTGTAACTTTTAGTATCTGGCATCAGGACTCGAAAGAGCTCTGCAGAATACTTACAGTATAAAACATAAAGCAATTACATATTAAAATGTAACAAAGAAGAGAAACGAATAAAAAAAAGAATATGTATGTAAAGTAGACCACCCTCAATTTGTAAGCATTTGGCGTCCCATAGTACAATTGCTGAAACTAACAGCACATAGGCTGGCAAATAAACTTTTTGTTTCAAATGGAAACAAAATCATGTGATTATTAGTGTTACTATCCTATCATTTGCTGCTATGTCACTGTTGTATTTTTAAAACACCCCATAAAAATGATCATATGATACTGAAAAATTGTGAAAATCAAGGGCAGTCTCTGCTTCCTGTTGTGGTAGGCTCTATGAGTTCTAATCAATTTATAGAAGCTTTTAATAAGACCCTGTCTTACTTGCCCCCTGCCAAGTAAAATGAAAAAGATAGCTACTAGAAAGAGGATGCTTGTGGTGATACAGAATGATCTATTAAGTTTATTGGATCTCTGGTTTATCTATTTATTGGATACTAGATCACAGCTTTTTGGCACTGTTTAAAAACCATTATGTTTTATGATTTGAACTACTGCATGTTTCTCATCTACTTTTATTCTCTCTCAAAATTTTTATTATCGAAGTACATCATTATACTGTGCCTTTTATTATTTGCATTTATCAAGAAATGCTGTCAGCTTTCCAGTGAGCAGTGCTTATATACTTACATATTTTTAGTAATAATAAATTAGTAATAGTAATAAATAAAGCCATGGAAGTTGTTAGGATAGTTTATCAGACCATTTTACTTACTTTGGCAGCCTGAAGTTGTGGGGGAGTGATGGTTTTTTTTCCAGATTGTAGATGAATAGAATTAATCTTAAGTCTTAAGTGTGCTTATTTGGAAAAAAGACTGTGACAAAAAGACAAAGAGGTTTAGAAAATATATGGATACCATGAGCATATGTGGTAAAGTGGGTACTTGAATCTGAGCCTTCTTGTTGCTGCATAATGAGATACTATTTTTTAGTTATAGCTATGTTTTCTGTGTATACATAGAAAAGACTCTGATCCTTTAGCAAGCATATTCCTGGTTACTTTCTTTAGCAACCCGAAACCACTATAGTAAGTTGATGCTTAGATAATCTCTCTAGATCAGGTTGTGAATGAATATTTTTTATTATGGTTACTTTATTAAGGTCATGGACAGAATTACAAACAAAAATACCATTAAATATGAAACAAAAACAAAACATTACAATTGGTGATGGATTTGTCAGTGCAAAATCAAATTCTGCCTAATTTTACAGGTAGTATAAAATTTTTTAGCCATGTTGAAGGAGAATTAATCATATTGATCTGATAACAATAACTGATCAGATTCCTTTATATATGATTATAGAGAAATTTTAATTTCCCAAGAAAAGATTACTGTTTTACCCAAAATGGTGTCCTCTGTGTTTATTGGAACTGCAATTCCTACATTTCTCAGAGGAAATTTGGAAAATACCAGGTTGGAGAAGGCTGTTCTAGAACAAACTTCTTAAATATGTACTTCTGTAGCACTGTTATTTTGGTCCAACACCTAAGATTCAGTATTTTTGCTGTACTACCAAGGTTGTTGAGAACTGTAGTCCAAAATACCTGGGAAGGCAAAAATGCCTTTTAGGAAAAGGCATTTTTGGAACCAGGTTCTATCTTTATGAATTATTGATATCACCCTCCTTCTCTGTAGGTTAAATACAATTCTTTCGTACTATATCTCAGTGTCTCACAACCAATCTGTTTTCAGCATTATTTATGATAAAGATTGATTCGTTGAACAAAACTTTTTTCAAAAATATGAATTTTGAACAAAACCCACATATTTTACAGGTCCTTTTCTGCCCCCTGGTGGTTCTGGCTGTGTTTGACTGGGATGAACCTCGCTGGTGCATTAGGGGTGAAATTTGTTGGCCTTTTTGTTGTCCTTCTGGTTGGCCTGAATACTGTCTGTGAACTTTGGGAGTTATTGGGAGACCTTAGTCTGTCACTGGTGAGTATATAAAACTCATTAGATTTTAGGATTTGTATGAAAAAGATGGTATTCTTAACAACACACCACAAAATTGTAAGATGTCAATTAGGTTACTGAAATCAAGATTTTTATAGTTCATTCCAAGACAATTTGCTCGCTGGATTGCTTTATTTTTTTATTTTTATTCGATATTGAACTATTTTATATATAAATATGGGGGGGTTGGACTAGAAGACCTCCAAGGTCCCTTCCAACTCTGTTATTCTTTATACATATATATCTAGCATTGTTATTGCGAATCCAAATTTAAGGACATGTGTAAAGTTCTGCAAGTGATTTTATATGATGAATTTTACTGATGAACTGCCTTTAATTGGTTACCTTAATAAGCTATGATGTATGTTGGGGAGCCGGGGAAGAAGCCTGGAATCATTTGAACTTTAGTGAAGCAATAAAGTTTGCAGCCTACAAATTGGATTTTTGTACACAATAAATTACTGGTTTATAGCTATGCATGATGGATTTAATGGCCTTTACAGACAGAGTTAGTTTTTTTAAAGATGAAGAAAACTGCAAGCCATTCATCACTAAGAGTTTGTTTTCTGGACATAAATAGCTTGCCATGGTAGAAAGAACTTAAATTATTTCTAGAGAGTAAATTATTTCTATGCAACGCTTAGGAGAAGTTAAATATGAAGTATCCTGAGATTGACAATAGACATTATTAAATTGGGCCCACGTTAACAGCAAGAAAGGAGGCTTTCTGGCAGATATTATTTACTGAAAGCCTGTCTTCTGTGGATATTTCAGTGTAAAGTTATTTTATCAATTGTTTCTATTTCTTTTATATATGAAAATGTGATCTTTTTTCTTTCTACTGTGTGATTTATTTTCTTGATTAAAATACATGTAGTGCAAGCATGTGAGTTTCAGCTTTTGAAAAGAACTACTCTAATTTGTATTAATCAATTGCAAATGAAATAAAACAAATCCATGTTGCTTAAAACTCCTCTTACAGATGACTGTTCAGAAATTCAAGCCACACTGTTACCAACACAGTTCTTTGAATCTTAAACTGTGCAAAGCAGTGTATAATTCTAGATCAGGGTTAGCAGAGATTGCTAAATTGACTGCTTTGATAAAAGAAAAAAATACAATTATTTTTGTTTCTACTTGGAAATCGCTTTTGGACTTTGTGTTTGAAGTAGAAAAAAAATGAAACTTTGATTTTGGGTTTTACTGATTAGATAGATTTGTTGTTATAGAAATGGCTAGTTTATACTATTATGTAAAAGTAAAAAGTTGAGGTTCGATGTTACTTCTTATTTTACTGCACCAAAAGGAGTCAGAAGTCAGTGTCTTTTCTTTTTTTCCCCTTTTCTCTGCACTTTTCTCTTTCCTTTTCCCTTCCCTATTTTCCCTATTATTTGCTTTTGTATTATATTTTATATTATAAGCTAATGAAAAGGATTGGCAGAATAACTGTTTTTCAGCCCTTCACCACTTAAACTGAAAAAGCATTACATTGAGATTATTAATTATCTCCCTCCTAAAGGGTATTCAGTTTGCTCAGTAATCCTTTTCTGCTATTTGCATTCTTAGATAAGCCAAGAAGAAACTCTTGCAATAACAATATAAGTTGACAGAGTTGAAGGATGAGTGGGAAATAGTGGATTTGGACAGCATTTCATGCATGGTTATTTGACAATATGTACTACAGTATTGAATAATTGGATGTAGTTTTAGCCAGCATATATAGTAGTTTACTCCAACTGTTTTCCCTGGGTAGCACATAGATAAATGTAAACCGAAGCGAATATTGTATGTCACAGTATTTGGAGTTTTAAAAATAAGTAATAATAAGTTAAAAATAAGTAATTTCGGAAGCCTATCTTGAACTTGATTGGAAATATTATCTGTTTTGTCCAGAATTGTTTTCAGTTCGGTATGTAAACAAACAATGCTAGAAATAATTTCTCTGTGAGAACTACTTTTCTACATGTATATAGGATAGAAGCATAATAGTACACTCTTTTATATTTTTAATTTGAAATAACAGTGCAAATCTGTACTCAAGAATAATATATATTGAATAAACATGGAAAATTGCAATCCAATTCGCTCTCCTATCAGAAAATCTTATTTTGGAAAAAAACTGAAGTTTGAACGAGTAACAAATTTTGGATTAATTAATATATTTATTTTTTAGATAGATGCCATACAATTTGGGGGGGGGGTACACACAGTTCATATGTACAGTTCCAAAAGTTTTCTTGTTTATTTTGAATCAAATTATTTTTGAAATGACATATGACTTTTCTGTTCTGGTGCCATATTGAGGTACTCAGGGCATGATTTACTATGAGAAGATAATACATCAGATGAAGCTGTTTTTTTTAAAAAAATGAGTATGCTTTGTTCCATCTAATTTTAAGACTAAGCAATTCAGGCTTGTGGCTTTATTGCTTCAGCACTGGAAAAATATGTAGATAACTTGTTTGGATGAAGAAAAATCTTGCCTAAAAGTTGATGCATCTAATTTTTTTTTTTTTAATTTCAGGTCACACTGGGAAAGCACTTCTTGGCTCGTGCACTTTGCCTCATTATACTGCCTCTTGTCCTCTATACGGCTCTTTTTGCAGTTCATTTTGCAGTGTTAAACAGAAGGTATCTCATTTTGTCAGAGAGGAAATACACACTTGAGAAACTCTGCACTGCAATTGATGCAGTGTTTATTTGGACCCTATACCAAGCCTTTTTTAAAGACATTTAATTCAGTGTAGTATCTACATTGATTCATTGCAGCAACAGGCCAAAGCTAAACAGGACTGAAAACCTCAAGGATGCAGTGTAGCCTGAAAAGTAAAAACAACAACAACACCCATCCAGGAATGGCGAACTACTTATTTATTGCTGCCAAGAAAACCTCATGAACTGTTGAGCTCGATTTCAATGAGGTTTCATTTATTTTTAAATTGGCTGATTTTAATGAATAGTGAAGCATAGCCAGCCAGGCTTTGAGATTACTGCTGATTATGATCTGATGTGATCATTCACAATTTTGGCTGTTGCTTTGCCTCTGGAAATGAAAGGCTGTAAAGAACTCTAAAGTCTAAACCATGGCTTGATCTGATAGTATGTCTAAACTAAACGATAGTTCTAATGGTTCAGGACATTAGATTCTTGTAGACATTTAAAAGAAGTGGAAAGCACTTTTCTTTTGCTGTTACATTTTCTTCTTATTTAATAATACTGTATACTGAAAGGCCAAGTACTTTTTTTTCTCAGTGGACCTGGTGATGGTTTTTTCAGCTCTGGATTTCAATCCCGGCTCATTGGAAACAATCTTCATAATGTTTCTGTTCCAGAATGTGAGTATCTGGGTTATTGAAGGGACAAATGCTCTAGCAAACATCATAACTGTACATTCTAATAAACAACATTTTCCTCTATTTAGAATCATTTTAGATAGTTCAAAGCAAAACAAATTAATGATTTTTCAGAAAAAGATTTTTAAAAGGCAATTTTACCTAGTATTGTTTGAAATATTTTGATGTGCTGCCTCCAAATTATTTCTAAAAAAATAATCGTCGTTATGTTTGATTTAGGGAAAGGGAATGTACAATTAAGGACAGATGTGATGGGCATGTAGAATGCTTTTGTTAATGTTTTGTATAAAATTATGTACTTTATAGTGAGGCTGGGAGGGCAATATATTGATAAGTTGAATTTCACGCATCTGTATTGGATTAAATGTATTTCATTTGAGCATCATTCAGAGAAAAGCCATATGTTATTATACAGCAGATTAAATCCAAAACCACTCAGCATACAAATGTCTATGACTCTCAGTAAGTAGAATAAACTAGTAGACTCCCAGGTTGTACAGCAGTGTGGTGGTTGTGGTTCAGAATTCATATTGTACAACTGTTTGACTTAGTTATGACTTGCTTAATAATTTATAATAGTCTAGTATTTATAGCAGAGGTGTCAAACTCGCAACGTCACGTGACGTGTCCTGACGTATCATGACTTTTTTTCCATTGCTGGCAATGGGGTGGGTGCGGTTTCGGCATGACGCATCTGTCCCGCAGGCTGGCAGTTTGACACCCCTGATTTATAAAATGCTAAATTTTAAAAGGCATAAGCTTAAGCCAGACAAATTACATTATCCAAATAGCATATTTGTGAGAAAACAGCCTGTTACTGCTTATTCAACAAGCCATAATTGTAGGCTAGTATGATACGTGAATCAGGTTGATGAGTCTCATAAAGTTGTTGTCAAATAGCATTACGATTGCAAGAAAGATGCTAAAATGGGGGTGAATTATCTAGACACATTGATCTATTTTGTATCTGTTTAGCAGTTTTCTGAACAAGGAACACTAGGAAGGAGGCAACGGCAAACCACTTTTGAAAATCTTGTCAAGAAAACTGCAAGGATTTGTTCAGGCATTCTCTGAGAATGACACACAATTGAATAGAAGGAGAAAAAAGCAATAATCTATGGTTACAAATGCAACCCCTGCTTCTTTGTTAGATGTAGCATATGGCTCTGTGATAACACTGAAGAACCTTCGCATGGCAGGAGGATACCTTCACTCCCACTGGCACCTGTATCCTGAAGGAGTGGGAGCAAGGCAGCAGCAGGTCAGTCAAGTGTGAAAATGATCATTTTCAATCATTCTACTGATATTTCCATAAGTCCTTCAGCTGACTAAAACTTCTGGACATTAATTATTTTTTAACTACCTACGATGGCCTTCAAGACTTGTTTTTCCTGGGACAGAAAATGGCTACTAATCATGCTGTCTAAATCAGGAATCTCAAACTTAGAGCTTAAAGAGTACACACAACCTTCCAAATCATTTTCTCCACTCTCTATTGCAGTGTTTCTCAACGTTGACAATTTTAAGGCATGTGGACTTCAACTCCAAGAATTCCACAGCCAGCATTGCTGGCTGTGGAATTCTGGGAGTTGAAGTCCACATGCCTTAAAATTGTCAACGTTGAGAAACACTGCTCTATTGGTATCTTAAGACAGTGGTCTCGACAAATTATTAAATATTACTTTGGTAATAAAACATAATATCAAAGTTTTAGTTAACTAAAAATGTTACTGGCTAAGTAACCAGTGTGAAATGGCTCTGATTGCAGTTCTGATTTACAGTAAAAAAAATATTAATAAATATTTAATGGCATACTATAATATTCTTCATTTTTCACTCTTTAGTCTATAAATATATATATGTAAAGGCTTCAGTGTTGCATTGCCTAGGCTCCTAAACTAATCTTCATGAGAATTTTGTGAGGATTTGAGCTTATCATCCTTGGTAACTTAAGATCCTTACTACCATCAAAATCAACATGACTTTGAATGACACTTATTGTGGAATAATAGTGGGATAAATCTATTTTCTTCATTTTTGTTTTATATAATCCAGTATGTAAAGTGTCATATTTGTTAATAATGAGTACAGAAGTGTAGTTTCATTAACATACTTAAGAAATTAAACCTAATAACTCTTATGTATTCCTAGGTCACTGCATATTCACACAAAGACTTGAATAACTTATGGATTATAAAGAAATATAACTTGAATAGAGGTAAATTGAAAATCACCCAAGTGGATTATATTATTCATTTTACTTTTCTTCAGGGAAAATGTCTCTTTTCTTAGGATTATGTACAGTCATACCTGTAACAATGGTGTTTCTCAAGATATATAAAATATTTGCTATATTTAAATCTTGGCTTTCTTCCAAAGAAAAGCATAGCTGTAAAATGGAATGTGCTTGTATCACTTAAGAGGGTATCTAGTTTTGGACATCTCATTTGGGGAGCGTTCATAAAAGGAAGTGTAGCAGAGGGACAACTGGGACAGTAAAAAGGTCTTCTCAGATAAAGTTAATATAAATTTAATAAATATGTACAGGAATAGGTACATATAAATAAGGATTAAATGTCTAGCTGGTACTGGATTAACTGATTTGGATTAGGGCAAAAATGTGGTTATTTCATAACTTGCACTTAGCTTGTCTAAGCAGTTTGTCTTCCAGCTATTAATTGAAAAGTGCAGGTTAGTCACAGGGCAATAAAATAAATAAATATTCAGTGTCCCTACAGTTGAATTAAATCATAGAGCTGGGAAGTATGCTTCCCTTCTTTATATTATTTTGGTAATATATTTAGGTATTGGTGTTCTAATGTCTTTGTCCATTCTCCTCAAATTCATGCTGAGACCCCTTCTATTCATCAGATTATTCAGACCTTTCCTTCCCTGTGGAGTTTGTGAAACATGGAGATATTATCCGTCTGGAACACAAAGAGTAAGTTGCACAGGAATTTGAAATTTTTTTTGGAGATTTTCTAGATTTGTCTGAACTAGCTATTCTAACTGAAGTTTTGATCTGCCAGCAATGGATAAAGTAAGTTTTTGAAACAAATGTTGGTTTGTTATTATTTCTTTTCTTTGTGCTTCATGTGTATTCTATTTGTAAAGTTACATACTTGAACTTTAAATCCTTAGGATCAGCTTCATTGAGGCCATAGAGATTCTTTGGTTGATTTTATATAGCAGCAATAACAGCTAGCTAACATGGCTGCACATTTGGAAATTGTTTCCATGGAAAACAATGAGCACCCTATAGAAATTATGATATTTGTATATTGATAAATAGATATATATTTAACAAAACATTATTATATTGCTCTCGTTTTGTTTAATATTTTTCATCCTTCAGATTATCCTGAAAATTGGATCAAAGAGTTTAATTTTATTTTAACTTTAGGACATCAAGAAATCTGCACAGTCATCAGCATGAAGCCCCCTTGACAAGGAAACATCTCCAGGTCACTGGATATGGCATTGTAAGTGAAAAAATAGGATTCTACTTTCCATCTGTAATAAACATTTTGCTAAAGCAAAGGGTTGTATTTTTCTGTTGTGCCTTTCTTGCTTTTAAATTGTTCAAAACCTGTGATATTTCATAGAAAAACAAAGAGTCACAAGGGATGTTATAGTTAGTAATATATTGCTTTAAAAATTATGTAGAACTCCTAAAAGAAAATATGGAAGAAAGCAGATCTAATAAACTGAAGCACTGAAATACCACCATAGAATTTATGTGTGAGCTCATATACTGTTTTCTTGGAATCTCAAATCATCTAGCTTTTCTAAAGAACTTTATTAATTTATTCAATTTACCATGTGATCATGTGACTCTGTAGTGAGTGGTGGGAAATTCCACTTCAAGAGGTTCAGGCATTAAAAGGTAATTGGGGGATGCGATCAGAACCCCAAAAATACATAAGTGCAAAAGCCAAGGAGCTAGTCGGGATGCTGAGTTTTCCCTTTCTGTGTGGTTAAAAAAAAAAAGGGAAATGCTGAATAAGCCAGGCATATTTTCTTTTTTTTTTAACCTATGTATGTCAACTTGAGCTATTTAGAGAAAAAAAATCCCTGCCCCCCTCCTGTAATTTATGTTTCCTAGAATGGAACTGGAGACTCCAATGATTTCTGGCGAATTGAAGTTGTAGGAAGAAAGGATGGGAAACGTATCAAAGTCCTGCGCAGTCAAATACGATTGATTCATCTAGCAACAGCCTGTATCTTGGGCTCGACTGGAAAGACACTACCCAAATGGTAACTGTTCAAATGTCTAGCTAACTTTGTCTTAAACCATTGGCTACCTTTGCTTTACAGTTATTTTAAGAGACCATTTTTCATTACTCTTCTAATTATGTCTTCTAATTTCTAATTTAAATTAAACAACAGCTAATTTATAGTCATATAAGTTTAGAGCCATACTCTTCCTTTAGCCTGAATAGCTAATTTAATTCTTTATTATCCTATATTAATATACATGTATTATGTTGTGGCTTTAAAAAGAAAAGAGCTCATATCTGCTGTTACATAATAGGAAATGCTGGAATGAGACAGTTTGTGTACGGGTATTGGCAACTAGGACAGAAATTTGTATCGGCCAGACCACAAATATCAGCCTTCTAACTCCTTGTGACATGTTTCAGTGTGAAATATCAGTGTTTTCATAGAAGAAAAGATCTCTACAAAAAGATGCGTTGAAAAGAGTCAAGATATATGACAGCAAATTGGGATTAAATTGATTAAAAATATTTGTCTTTCACAGGGGCTGGGAACAAGTGGAAGTCACTTGCACTCCATATCAGAAGGAAACTCCAAATACTCTTTGGAATATTGAAGATCACGTTAATTCCAGATGTATGTGATAGTAACATGTCCTTAAAATACTGGATATTTTTCCTACATGTTCTGTATACGATGAGAGTGATACCAGAAAAAAGCTGTCTTAAATTATTTGGCACGCCTACACTAGGGTGACCCTTGTTTCCTCATCTCAAAGTCTTAGAAAAACAAAAAGTGGAACATGCTATGATTCAGTTTTAATGTTCCAGGGGTTTAGTGGAATGAGGGCTTGAGGGTAATTTGACCATTCAAGATTTGGTTGCATAATTTGTTTCTTTTTGCTATTTCTATCATGCTTTCCCACTGAATGTAATTGAGTACTGAGAGAATGATTGTGCAGATTTAATGTATAAGATTCATCTTAACCTTGTCTTCTTTTCTGCAGTGCCCAATATCAGTTTGGATGTTTTGAAACCTTCCTTTCCAGAAATACTGCTGGAATCTCACATGGTTATGATCCGGGTAGGTAGATTGTTTAGGCGTTATTGTTTTAACATTCTAATTAAAAAAAATAGTTTGGGCCAAAATAGCAGAAGATGCAATCCAGTAAGTCTGTCTCTCTTATCGGTAGTTTTCAAGACACTTTCAATGATCTGGGGAGGCTGAAGATTAATATATTTTAGATTGTAGCATATGCCTGTAAAATATACTGTAGATACTTAAAGAAAGATAAATGATCTTATATAGTTTATTAATAATATTTTAGCAAGTGGAAATATTTTTAAAAAACAGAGTGAGTTTCTTGGCAGGTGAGAGAATTGCTGATGAATGGAAGGAGTTGGAAACTTAATATTTTTGATTTCAGACTTTTATAGCGCCTTAGTCATAAAAGGCAAATTATCCTTTTATCTTCACTTTGGCCAGCTTGATTTGGACTGTGAATCAAGTTGCTCTGAGTTGCTCATAAATAGCATTTTCTAATTTCTAAATGTTAGTCAGAGCTGTTACTAGTAACCAATTCAGTATTAATCCATTTTCATGGTAACTATTATTGGTGTGGTACTAGATAAGGCAGTTATTTATATTCCCAAATCCATCCATATTAGAGGATTAGTATAGTTATTGGATGATAGTTACATTTCTGTGCATTGGAACTACTTTTTTGCTTTTCTTATATTTCTGGTTCGTCAATAAGGAGAAGACAGGAATCTGCCTAAGATAATTTTCTGTTTACTTTTCATTTCAGTTTACACGAGCAGCAGGGAGCGGGGAGTGTATCAACCCAAGATTACATAGGGCTCCTTACTATTTACATACCATGATATAATGGTTTAGTGTTATTCATGAACCCTCTAACTCATTTTAGGGGAAATAATTCTTCTTGTAAAAATAAGGATACTTTGGCGATGTAAAAGCAAAGTTAATGAATTTCTATTTGGGGATAATTGTTGAGAATAAAGAACAACAACAACAAAAAAATCTCCATAGTTTTCACTATGGAGCATCTTCTAAAGCATTTCTGGTTGAAATGTGGTATCAGTCTCAAGGTGGGCTGAGTTAGGCTATCACCACCAAAATAGGATATTTAGTAAAAAAGAGCAGTGAAAGATTGAACATGTATTGTGTGTACACGTATGTCCGTATAAACTTTCCAGAGGTGGCTAATGCACTATTTACTATTATATGAAATCAGTTAGATGCACAGTTCATTCTTAAATATATATATGGCATATGGCCAGTTACAAAGGTTTTGCAATATAACTGATAACTATGCCTTTTATTTCATCTGAAGGGAAATAGTGGCCTTAAACCAAAGGAGAATGAAGTCACATCAAAACCCTGGCATTGGCCAATCAATTACCAGGTATATGGTCAGCATCAATGTTGAAGAACTCTGTCTTCATCTTGTTTTTAAAATAATAGCATGAAGAATTGCTGTTAGTTCTTTTTACATATTTACAGGATGCATGTTTAAATGACACCCAAATCTCATTTTTTTTTCCTTTGGTAGTTCTTATTGCTGTATTTAGAGACTGTTATTTATACAGATGTTTCTGGAATGCTGGTTAGCAAAAACATATGAAGGTCATGCAAAACTGTTCTTGGAAAATATTTCACTGCAGTTAAACCCAAACTTGAATTGTTTTATAAATATAAAATTCAGGCGGTGCTTGACTTACAACTGGTTATCTAATGACCATTTGAATTTACAACAAATCTCTCCAGAGCTATTTACAACCTGTTTTTGGAATTGCAAACCCGCACCTGCAGGTCATACGATTGTACTTTGGGCTCTCGGCAACTGGCTCACCTTTATGGCAGTTTGCACTGTCACACAATTACGTGACCATGATTTGTGACATTTCTTCCGGTTGCTAGCATTTATTGCTGGTTTCTGACAAAAAAACAGCCATTAGGGGAAACAGATACTCTTAATGACCACAGTTTTTGCTTAATGACTGCAGCATTCCCTTAATCACCATTGCAGAAAAATAGTCATAACTTCAAATCCATTCAGGTGATGCCTCCACTTACAATTGAAATGATTTACGAGCATAATTCCGGCCTCAGTTATAGTTGTAAGTCAAGAACTACCTCTACTTTTTTCTCTTATGATGGAGGGAAAAATCAATTAATTAAAAAATGAGGGCTAAAAGTGAACTACTTCGATCACTTCTGATTCAGCCATCTATTTCTCCATAGGGTCTGCGTTTTTCTGGTGTCAATGAAACAGACTATAGAGTTTATTTGCTGGGAAACCCGGTAAGCAAAATTTTGGTTCTTTATCTTGAGATTGGATGAGTCATCTTTGACTTGAGCTCCCTGGAATGTTTATTCCACTTCAGTAGTTTTCTTTATAATCTTGTCTTCATAATTGTAATCCTTATCTTTTGCTTCTTTATAATTTATGTTGCAAAAGACAGTTTGGTGCAGTGGTTAAGGCATCAGACTAGAAACTGGGTGAGTGTGAGTTCTAATTCTACCTTAGGCACAAAGCCAGTCACTCTCTCTCAGCTCTAGGAAGGAGGCAATGGCAAACTACTTCTGGAAAGTCTTGTCAAGCCAACCGCAGGGACTTGAACAGGCAGTCCCCAAGAAGAGGACACAACTGAACACAAGAAAAAAAATTGCACTGAACAGCCTTATTTACAATGTTTGTTTTTTTAAAAAAAAAACAGGTGATTTGGTGGATGAGTCTAATTGCTATTGGATTATATCTTACAATGATAATATTTATATCAGTGGTTGTGAAGCGAGGAGTTCAGCTGACAGCTGAACACAAAGGTAAGACCAATTTTCTTCTTATTATTATTATTATAAATTCTTGCTTTGAACTCTAAAACAACAAATGCCATGTAGCCAGTGCTATATCACATTTCCTTCAGAGAGAGATTATTGGAAAAGGGAGAAAAGGGGGATTATCACTGATGCTGAGATCCCCAAAAGCAAATAAAAAAAAAACTAAAACTGGAAAATTGGAGAGCTATCAAGAATTATTCACTATTCCTTGTTCCATTAATTCTGCACTTTAGGGTCCTTACTAGTTGGATACAGTGTTTATCACTAAGACTGCATTGTTCATAGAAATTTATGTTCAGATGACTCTGACTAGAGCAGCAGCTCCCAACCTTTTCTATACCCCGCACCCCTAGAACGCTTCTGATATATTCTCGCACCTCTTACAAAAGTTCGAAATAACGGCAACAAATTATGCACATACACTATAATTTTGAAAACGCAAGCTTTCACACCCCCTGGAATATCATCTTGCACCCCTAGGGGGTGCGAGCACCCCCTGTTGGGAACCCCTGAACTAGAGTGTTCCAGTTTTTTTAATTACTTAACAATAGCCTTTACCTGTGTACTTTCCCTTAATTGGATTGGACTTCAACATTTAAGATTCTATGACTTTTGGCCATATGAGTTTGGAATTATGGGAACACATAATATATGTGTGTAGCACAAAACTGGAGAAGACTTCTCCAGATACAGGTAATCTTTGGCTTATAACAGTAATGTAGTCTGCTTATTTTTATGTTATGTTATGTTATTTTTATTTTTTATATCCCCTCTTTATTATTTTTAACAAATAACTCAAGGCAGCAAACACATCCAACAAACCTTCTGCCTCTTATCCTCCCCCCCCCACAACAGACCTCTGAGGTGGGTTGGGCTGAGAGGAAGGGAGTGGTCACCTGACTGGCTTTCTGGTCTAAGGTGGGACTTGAGTGCATGGTCTCCAGCGTTCTAGTCTGGTGCCTTAATCACTAGACCAAAATGGTCATAAGTTGTGATAGTTGTTGTAAAGTGGATTATCATGTGACCAAACCAAATTTATGACTTTTTTGTGATGATTGTTATTAAGTGAATCTGTGGTCACTAAACTAAAGTAACACCACAGTCATTAAGCAAACCCACTGTTCGGTATTGGGCAGTTTTGCTAAAAACCTGATGTAAATGCTGCTTTTTGGGGGGGAAACATCATAAATCATGGTCATGTGTCTACGGGACAGTGCAAACAGTTATAAATGAGGGCTGCTTGCCAAGTGCACAAAATGCAATGATATGGTTGTGTGTGTGTGTGTGTGACTGTTTGTGAAATGGTTGTTGGAACTTTGGAACCTGATCATACTATCTTTTGAAGGGTCCATTCTAACTTTGAACAACCACTAAGCGACTGGTTATAAGTTGAGAACTATCTGTAATCATGAAAGTTCATGTGGTTTTTGCTTGGAATCATGACAGCTTTCAAAATGTTCTTTGGTCTACTTATTCATAATGGTTGTTAGTGTTCCAGTGGCTTTCTTTACCTAGCTTGGTACTGTAATGTTTTCTATTATGCATAAAGGAAATATATCTGATTATGAATAGTGTAGTCTACTTTGTTTTTTTGAAAGCTTTCCACAAAGGAAGCGTCAGCGGTAATTCTGTCCAATGAACCTTTAATGTGGCAAATCTAAGGCATTTAATATTTACACATTCCCTAGAATTAGATCTTTTTATGATGTTTCAAAGGATCCAGTGCTTGTACTGTATACAACTTTTAGATTAAATAAATGTCAGTGAAAACATCCTTAGGTATATGCATATATTACAGAGCTTGCTCGAGTTTTGCTGCATGGTGGAGGAAGGATTATCCTGGGATGGTTTCTCCATTATTTTCCTTTCTTCATGATGGGCAGAGTGCTCTATTTCCATCATTACTTCCCTGCCATGCTTTTCTCCATCATGTTGACAGGTAAGATTTATAAATCTTCATATATCAGGAATTAAATATGGTAATCAGGTTACAGGGAGTCTTGAAAAGCATGAGTGTAAGTGATCACACTATTTACCTTAACACATTGCATGTTTTGAAAAGGTTCTCAGGAAATAACTTCTTTATCAACATTGAGACCATTTAACCTAGAATTGAATTTAGGAAATTAGGATGCAATCTACTCTCCTATTCTCATCATTTCTGTATTGATAATATGGATATTAGAATGATCATTAGAATGATTAGGAACAGTTTCAAATAGGACTTCGATAAAGATTCTAAAACAATTTGCCCTCAAGTGTGTTGCAGAAATACTTTATTTTTACAATGCCTTTTAGGTGTATTGGTTAAGATTATTGTTAAAAGCTCAGTTCTGAATATTCTCATTTTTGTCTCAGGATATCAAACACTACAGGTACTTCTTTTTAAAGTCTTGTTACATCTTGCCCATCACTTATCCATCACTTGCCCCCAAATGCCATGCTTGAGGCCTGCATGTTCTTTTCCACAGATTTTTCTTTCCCCATATAAATCTTCCAGAAATTGCTACCAAGTTGTGATTTCTAATGAGATGGGGAAAACTGATTAAATGCATGAATGGCTGTCATATAAACTGTATTAATTTAATCACAAATCAAATTTAATTTGTTGTTTTTTTCCTCAGGGATTACGTGGGATGTATTCCTGAAATTCTGTGCTTGGTTTTTTTCAACCAGCATCCAAGCTAAGAAGGTTTATAACTACGGGATAGGAGTGTTGGTCATGCTCAGTATGTATAGGTGAGAATTAGTTCTTGAACTGCTCAAAAATATATTTAATTAATTGCCTGAATCTTTAACCACATGTCACTTCCCAGGAAACTTAATCAACCAGAAAGAACATTTATTTTATTTATTTATAAAATTTATTGGCTGCCCATCTTACCTCAGGGTAACCCTGGACAGTTTATAATCATAATAGATAAAAATAGTATAAATTAAAAACATAAATAAATTAATTCAAAATGGGGAGCAGGGGAGCAGGATAGAGAGGGGGAGGTGGGATTTGTTGTTAATTGATCAACCACCTCCACTATGGTTCCCCCATTGATGCCCCAAGCTAACTGACAGAACCAGGTCCTTAGGCTCTTACGGAAGGTCCTGAGGCTTGGAGCTAATCTTACTCTGGGGGCAGGGCAAGATGTTCCAGAGGACAGGGGCAATGGCAGCGAAGGCCCTTTTTCTGGATTCCACCAGACCAATGGGGCCCTCAAGCATGTCTCCTCTGCCAGCACAGGTGGGGTGGGCCAATCCCAGTGGCTCTAAAACACAGATGACTGAACTCACAGCTCAGTTTAAAGGACCTTGTTCACTTCCTTAGAGCAACAGATTCAAATTCTTCCCAGATAACTGGGCAAGACTATGCTTCAGGCAGCTCATAGGATTTGTGCAATCAGATTCCAACTCTGAGTGAATCTGAGTAACTTTATGAGATAGACACCTAGAACAGAACTTACAGCAGCCTGTAAACATTCTCCAGGTGGGAATCTGGGAGTCTGGGACTGGGTTATCTTAAAAGGGCCACCAGCCAGCTCTCTGCAGATATAATAAGACTGAAGAAAAACTACCTTTTCTGCCTTTAATGTCCCTAGGTACTTCTCAAGGAAAACTTTTACCCATGTTTGATTGGGTTCACTCTTCATTTTCTTCCAACAGCACTCTAAGGCATCTCTTATGCCATTTCATCTTCTATGTCCTCAAGAAACCAGGGAACCCTGCATGATCCATGTGGCTAGAGAGTCTACATAGATGCAATTAGATCTAAGGCCATTGCCACTCTCTTGTCCCAAGTGGAAATTAAGCAGGTTCCAGAGCTCCATGAACAATTCCAAGCTCCCACTGAAACCAAGTAATGTCCATTAGACTGTTTAAATATACAGTATACTATCTTCCCGTAGAGGGTGCAATACCAACAAGGAGTGTAAAGTCTATGACAAGAGACTGATGGTAATATTCCCCAAATGCAGATCATATTACCACTACTCAGAGATATTCCCTAAATATTGTAATGTAAACAGCTTTTCTTTGACAATTGCTATTTTTTCTTTAACTCAGAATTCATTGAACAATATAATTAAATCACATTTGTCATGTTATAAATGTTATGTACTATTAGTTAGACCAACCTAGTGGATGCTGAGATGCCTTCCGCTTTTATGCTTTTATTTTATTATTTATATATGTGCGTGTATATTTTCCACAGCTTTTACCTCTTCCATCCTCTATCCTATGGGATGACAGGACCTCTGGCTTCTGATCCCAACAGCTCAATGGCGGGCCTTAAATGGCTGGAAACATGGGAGTTTTAGATCCAACTTTTTTTTAAAAAAAAAAAGAAAGGAATAAAATAGAAGAATAGATGTGGTGAAACATTTCTCTACCTTTGATGATTGCTATGAAGAATTTTCTCTTAAACATTTCTGAGTGGAAACAGTGAACTATTGAAGAAGGAGGCAGCAGTGTGGGAGAACTTCTGACAGAAAGGCTCATTGCTCCAGTCATTTGAGTCAGCTGCTACTTTAAAGTTTGAACCGTCCAAGCAATATTTAAACACTCATGCTGTCTTATCAAGACAATATACAGCAATGTCATAATGTGTGATTTTGAGGATGCCTGTGTTTCAAAAAGATGTAGATTATGCAATCTTCTCTCTGTTCAAGTGTGACATGACACACAGGGAATATCAACTGTGTCTTTTGCAAATGGGATAGTTCAGAACCAATAATTTATAGTGTTTTTAAAGGGAAGTTGTCTCTCCGTGTGTACACATATATGCCCTCAAGAGGCATCTCTTTCTTGCTTTGATCTTAAATGATTGGACTTAAATGTTTCAGTTGGTTGAGGCATTACAGGTTTCTGTGCATTCCTTTCTTCTAAGACAAAAGGCAACAAGTTATTCCTATTTTTGGATAATACTTCTGTCTCTGAGCACTAGCTACTACTTGCAGTTAAGAGAATCTTACAACTACCAAGAAGATTCAAAGAGTTATTAAATTATAAATTCCAGTCATCACACCACTATTCTGAGGATTTTTTTTAGTGGAGAGATGTTATGTTTTTGGTCTCCAGCTCTAAATTCCTCTGAGATGCCTTTTGAGCAAGGAAGTCCGCAAAGCTGCAGAGATTATATAATAGCTTAGAGCATTTGCTGGTGCTGGCATTGATCCGATTTATCCCATCACCTGAGGGAAAGCTGACGTGAATGAATGTAGATTGTGCAAAATAAGTGGTAATACTGGGTTATTCTTTGTTAAAGGCATAATTCTTTTGAGAAGTCTTTTCCTCTTGCTATATTAAGCTATCTGGAAAAAGGTTTTTTTAGTTTCAGAGTAGCTTGATAATAGAGCAAAACTCTTCATAGAGGAGAGAGTTTTTGTGATTGCATGTGAAGGAAACTCTTAAAAACAATCTGACTAAAAAACATTTCACTCTCAATTAGTGTGCAATGCACCAGAATTTTTTCGAATGAATTTGGCTCCAACTCTCGTTACATTGATCACCTATGTCCAGATTGCTGAGATATTGCAGTAATTCATTTTAGCATGTGCATGAAACTTTCAAGCCTCCCAAATTATATTCTCCATGCCATCCTTCATTAATTGGCTATCTTGGTTGGCATGGAGACTGCTTATATCCCCATGATATGGTTATGTTGAGTAAAATTTAGTTGTCCCAATCCAAAAAAAGAAAGGAAATGCAACTGTGCTTATTAGTCTGGCTTAATCTAATACTATTGTCACAATGTGCTTGTGTTGGGTTTCAATTTTTATCATTTGCAGCCTTCCCAAATCTGACAGCCTCCAAATACACTGGGATTACAACTGGGATTGCATAAACACAGCCAAGCTCTATAATGTCTGGGTTCAATGCATATTATAGTCTTGGATCAACTGGAAAGCAACAAGTTGAGAAAAGCTACTTTGCATAATGATAAAAAGTCACAGGTTTCTTTTCTGTGTCTTGTTGAGTATTATAGGAAATCATTGCAATAGATGGTATATTTTCTATGGCAAGAGTCCATCTTTTATTTGGTAATGAGAGACTCAGTGATATGCAGGAATAAAACAGAAAAATAGAAATAACAGGTAGAGATGACTGTGCTTTGAATTTGCTGTTTCTTCTATCAGCAGATGGAGCAAAACAGGAAGACTTCATGACATTGGTAGCAATTCAATGGGTTATAGGTAGATAATTTGATAGCAACAGTTGTTATAAATTCTTGACCATTTTCTATTATGTGCTCAAGTGTTACTCTTGATTAGATTTCTAAATCGGGTTCCCATAAAATGGTTCTGAACTATTCATGTTTTATAGTATGTGTGCTCACACGATTAGAATGTACTTGGCTTTTTAAAGGAGGGCAACCTTTTTTATCAATTAAAATTATATTATACAAAATAGCATTTTAACAATTTAATTTAGAATTTCAGCAAGGCTGCTGGACTCTTTTCTTCTGGATTCTGCAGTACTCCAGTGGATAATTGTTCAGTGTAGCTTTGCCTGATGTTCTGAGAAATCTGATCATTCAGCACATACGTGCTGTGGCTAAAAGGCAGTACTGCATAGAACATTTTTTTGAACATGTATAAAGTAGTTCCTTTTGAATTTGATGCAATAAGACTAGTTTTCCATTGTGCAAAAAGAAATATCCAATCAGACATTAATTGCTGTCATTCACAGCATAATGTCAATAAATCCAATATTGCAGGCTAGCACTGGGTGACCTCTTGGCTGTATGAAGATAGTCCCCCTTAGCTCTTCTACCATTACACTGCAAACATTTGGTTTCTGTGGGAAAGAGTAATTCTAAGTGAATGTGCCTTAGTTCAGTATTTTGTACTTAGGATGCATTAATACATGTTTATGTTCCTACTGTAGCGTGCCTTTCCACACATCTGTTATTGGCCCTCTTGTATTTGGAAATCTTACCTTAATTGATTTTTTTCTTTTACCGCATATAATTAACTAGCTTCATTCATTGTTTTGAAGCCTTTTTCTTTAGAACTCTTGAAATATTGTACTAAAAGAAGTATGCAGATCAAAGAATGAGTTGGCTGCAAAATCTCCATTGAGATTTTCTATTATTTCATAGTATTCAATTTCATTGCTCTTCCCAATGTTTGGATCATTCACTTTCCTAAAACCATATGACTCCTACTATTGTTTCTCTTCTTCCCATTTGTGGTCTTAATGGAACATAGACCATTTTATCATGATTAAAGGCATGACTAAATAAAACTTTTTGTTTTGAGTCCTTGTCTTTCCACATTAGGATGGGACTACAATTATGACACCACAAATGGGATAAGGAAGGCAAAGTCAGCAATACTGTACATTCTCATTGGGGGTCATTATGGCAGTGCAGTAGCCTCTCTGCATAGCAAATTTTAAAAAAAGGTTTTTATTCCTATGATTATTGTTCAATAAATTCATGTCTGAAAAAAGTCAAGTGATTGATAGGAGCCCTGATGCCTTTCTTTATACAATCTGTATTAAAATAATGTCAACTCTGAAGTTACAAAACAGTGAATAAGCTTTTGATTTCTCTATTTAAAAGGTACACAAGAAGGAAAGAGGGAAGAAATAGATGCCATTGAAAGCATAATCTTAACATGGAGTGTGGGAGGAGATTGTGCTCATTCAAATGAGGCTCTTCCACTTACTGAAATGGTTTTAAGATTTGCAGTCAGACTCTCTGGTTTCAATAAGAAATAAACAATGGTCAATCCCCCATTTAAGAAAAAAAAATAGCTATTTCACACTCTCTGCTCTTAGGTAAAACTCACTCTCCTACATTATGAATTTCCTTATTGATGCTGCTAATACTGAAGTTGTTAGTGTGCTTGGTTGTAACTTGCATATGATTACTGCCTGTATGTTTAAGTCACTACATGTCATTGCTCTTCAGTGTACATGGTCCTAATATAAGAAAGCTGCCTTTGAATTGGCACTGTTTTTTTTAAAGAGGGTTAATTGATAAAAATATTACCTTTTAATTTTTTTAATAAATACGTTTTTTTGTCTCAAACATCATTGATTTCTGAATGTTTTTCTCACTTGAATGAAGATGAAGGCTGAGTTAATACTGATGAATATTAATGTTGGACATGGAATCACTTTATTTTCTGGGGCATTCTTCATTTTTTTGTTTTGTTTTGTTTTGTTTTTTTGTATTACCACCTCACCACCAGTTCATTCTGATTTAAGAAAAAATATGCACATGCATACATATGATATAGGTTTGGACCACTACTAGATCTATTTCTTGTTTTCACTGTTTGAAGTTTAGTACTGATGGAACAGCACTTATATTTGGGGGCTCCACGTGGCCCCCATTTCAGTATTAAGCTTCCAAGTTGCTATTGAGATGCATATCTTAAACCAATCAGTTACGTTGCTTACATTACAGAAAGCAGTTACATGCAGAGTAGGAGCCTTTTCATGGAACAAGAAGTTCAAAACAAGAATAACTGATGTAATTAAGTAATGTGTGCTCATTATTTATCTAATATCCAGCTGAGGGACCCGGCTGGAAACAGTGGGTGAATGTTCCATAAAGGTAAGTGATAAAAAGGCTTGATGCAATGCAGAATCATGTGAGAATTTCTTTGGAAATTCAGAAGTCACCGATGTGATTTTTTTTTTTTTATTACATTGTATGTTATCTAGCTTTACTCACCAACACCGTATCCATTTAGTCAGTGGTAGTACCATAATTCAGCAAAACTTGTGCTTTTTCTTCTACATCCTGTTGATTGTGGAAGTTGGAAGGGAAATATATTTAAATGATAAATGGAAAAAAGCTGAGGGAATTGAAGAAACAGTGATAAGTTAGAACATAGAATAACAGGATTGAAAGGAACATTATTGTCTTCTAGTAGTCCAAACCCCTTGCTCGAGCAAAAAACCTTATGCCATTCCAGACAAATGGTTGTCCAATGTCTTCTTCAAAAGCTCCAGTGATGAGGAAATTTCTCCTTAGTTCTAGGTTGGATCTGTAATGACCTTCTACCTATTACTTCTCGTAAGATGTTGTTACATTTTGCTTTACTTGTGAAAAGAGATAATGGGCACATGGCATAATGAAAGACCAATATCTTTAGTAGTATACCTCTTACATGCGGCAGAATGAATTGTTAATCCTCTTGGCATAGTAGAAAATATCCCCCTTCCTGCCCAGTGTATATAATACCTGATATAAGGGCCCACCCATCGCATTTATACATTAAAATAATTTCTGCTTTTAAAGGCGATGATTTCTCAAAATTTATATAACAGAAACAGTAACACAAACATTAATCCAACCAAA